TTTTCTGATCACTGATAAATTAATTTGTGAGTAAGTTTGGATATTGCTGTTCTGATAAATGAAGTCTTATTAATTATCAGATTTTTAACTTTCAATATCTGAATTTCTGATTTATTATATAATTTCGCATTTTCAGAAAGCCCGTATGACTCTCTTTAATTGACGCCAGCTCGACCAAATCGTTGAATAAAAAGTGTTGGCGCACAAATCTCTCCTGCAACAATGGCCGTTGAGTTTTTCTGATCATTGTTCCGCCGCACACCACACACTTTCTCTCGCACCAACTGGCAACGTTTTCGCTTTCTACTGCCTCCCTTTGTGTATTCGCTCGGCTGATAAATAAACAGCGACCGCAATCAGTTGTGCTTTATTAGCGGCGTATAAAAGTTAGCGAGCGACGCGGCCATTAAATTAATTTACTCTAGCGAGGACGAACGAATCTGTGATGTCAGTGCACTTCTCTTTGGCCGAATTTTAATCCTCTTAAAAAGGTCCACGGTCCTTTTTGTCAACTCCGATTCCAGAGAGCTTGACTCCGAGGAACATTAAAGCGAGCCAAGAAAGCAGACAAGTGACTTGTGCGCGCCTCTTTTTGTTTTGTCATTCGTTTTTTACACAAGAGAGCTGGAGGAAGAAAGATCTTCAGACGGAGGCCGAAGCTTTTTGTGCATTTTGGTCATTAGCAGCAAAAACAATTGGCGACCCAATTCAATCACTTTCGCCTTTTAGAGCATTGATTACAAACATACATATTATCATAAATGTATAAGCGACTATTTATTAAAAATAAAAATATTTTTATTTAAATTTTGTTTACTGCATTGATAAATAATTTAAATCTTATAGTATTTAATTTTTTTTAATTTTATTATTTAATCGTTAATTATTTTAATTTAATTTCAATTGTTTGCTCATTTACTTCAATTGTTTTAATTTGTTTAATAAAAAAATTTGAAAATTTTATATAAAATACAAAACAGTATTTAAATTGTTTATTTACAGTTTTCAACAAAATTTAATCTAAGCGTCTTCTTCAGTTTAAATAACAGTGAATCCGTCATTATACTTGACTACTTGTAACATTTTTCCTTTACAAATATTTCTGTTAATTATTTGATTAGAGCATGAAAAAAACCACAATCATGAAAGCTGCTGTTTTGTTACTAAATATTATCTTTTATACTGTTGCGGCCAGATGCAGCTTTTTTGTCGCAAAAAGAGGATAAAAGCCGCGGCTTGTAATTTGTGCGCGGCCTTCGTATTATGTCATCAAAGAGCCATAAAGTCCCAAAAATTTCACTTGTCATCTCACTTAAGTGCCTTTATGCCGTCTCAGAATGACTGTCAGCACCATCATCGTCGATGTTAGTTCCGCTTACGGCAGAGAAATCATGCATGTCTCTTGCAAATCAAACATGTTGGTTCTTTTGAACGACCGTCACCGTCGGCAGTTCACTGCCACTTATGCAACCGGCTTGACCGAATCGTGCAGGTTGCCTAACAAGCTAGGCGTCTTCACTCATCAAACTATTTTAATCAACATTACAAGTGGGGGTGAGGATTTATAAATTACTTTTTAGATTTGTCAAAATATTACCCAAAGAATCACGCAAAGAATTTTTAGTATGTATACTTTTAACTATTTCATTTATCATTGAAAAAAAAAATTTTTTTTTGTTTTTGGTCTAATGTAGTACGCTTCATCTAAAAACGTTTGGCAACTTTCAATAAAAAAAATAACATTGCTTGCGTTGCTCCATATAATTTTTAGTATTACTTTTTCTTAATATTTTAATTTTTTTCTTTCAATATATAAATTGCCTCTTATGTAAGAATTGAATAAAGACAAAAAAAAAAAATTATCAATTTTACTTATATCTATACACCGATCGAGTTCAATGAAAAAAACAATTATACACAAATTGGCAAATCTGGTTCCAAGAAATTAATAACCAGCATTGTAATAAAAAATATGATGTTTCTTTCCTCTCCACTTCAATCCTCATAAGAAAAAAGCCGAGTCTCCTCCACAATTCCTCTAGTCCTTCTTCCTGTTGCTCTGAAAACGGTTTGCTAATTTGCTCGTTCTCCCTTGAGAACTCGAGCGAGAGCTTTTAATTAGAATTCACAGAGCCTTATTTGCACAACAACAAATCGAAATGGCGGAGCACGGTTTCCTCCCTCGCCGCGATTTCCACCTTTTCCTCAGTTAATCCGCTCCGACTCTTTTTTATCTCCCCGACAAGTCCGTCCCAGCAAACGCGATTAATTCACTCTGGCCGCTTTTATTGCTGCTGCTCCTTCAGAGTTGCGGGCCAGAGTGCTAAAAACGGGGTGTTAACGCCGCACATTTATTCTGCCCACATCTGCACGAGGAGCGAGGCAATAATTATATTTGCCCACCGCCTCCATTACTCGGGCGTGTATTTCATTATGGATGAGAGTTTCCCTCCCAAAAGCTGCTTTCGCCGCATCCATTTTGCACTCACACAAAAGGTGGTGCCAACAGGATTTGCTAAGGTGGCGCCCAGAACTCGCCAACAACAACAATTTGCTACAGCGCTTTGAGAAAGTTGAACGTGGAAGACAAGACGGAGTTTGTTTGTTTTCATTCCGTCCATTTGTGTGGAATATAAGGAAACAATGATAAAAGTCGTTCGGTGAAATGATTTGGGTCAAACGCCTCTCAACCAAGCCTGGAAACTTTTTGCTTATTTATAACCACTTGATAACCACTTGAAATAAATCAATTCGGAACCCAGAATGTTGAGGAAAAATAATGAAAAGTAACACACCGTGGTTTTTAAATTGAAAGTGCTGATTTTTCAACTTCCTGAATTAGCGTAATCATGAAAATGTTAGCAGCAGGTTTGAATTTTTTTAACGTTCACTTATCAATTTGAAAGCATATTCAAACTTATTTGCAATTAACCTATCTTTTTAAAAGGCAGTTTAAAATTTCAGTTTAAAAACCAGGATTTCTTGAAATTAATATCGTAATACAAATTTCGCCTTTAACTGCAATAGCAACCTATTTTTGCTATAGTATATTTGGATTCTAATAATTTGGATCATCAATTTTAATTCGTGCTTTACCAATCGGCGAGGAAAACAATCTGCATAACAAGTAGTATCAATTCTACGAACACTAATGGCGTATGAGCGGCGCAGTTCCTCATCTTGTGTCGACCGAGCAGAAAGCATTATCGCTGCTAAAACTTTGCCCGGCGCGCGCGTCTCGTTGGTACAAAGTCAATAAAGTGTCTGAAAATAAAGTGAATTCGCGTACATAAAAGCGAGAGCGAGCGGAGCTTAAAAAGCAAAGTGCCTTTTCAGGAGCCATCAAAATAAAATCGGGGCGGCGAAGAAATGAGAGCAGCGTAATCTCGTCGTCATTTGGAGAGTTGACGACATTTTCTCCAAATGTGTATCTGAATGACTATCCGAGCCCGCAAGAAGAAAGAGGGCGAAAGTTATTTCATCTGTTAAATTTATCCTTCTTCGGCAGGAATGACAGGCTGAAAAAAAAGGATGAACCCTCTTGGTGGAGACTGATTAAAATTTTATTTGATCGAGGAGAGGGAAGTTAACGTTTGGTTTCACTCCGGAAAAAAGTCTTTAATTTTCATTTTCCTTAAGAACGATGTTTCAAACTCATTAATATCCGACTTTTTTCCTCTTCTGAACTTCATAGCAAGTTATTAATTTGAATTTAACGCATTCTTAATCTTTCAAAAGAACCAATTTTAACATATAAGTTAGTATTCCAAAGTTCTCCAAGTTTGAATCGGATTTTCAATATTTATAATTGCAATCTCAAAATTCAGAAGGTTTCAATCAAATCTTGGTATTTATTCAGACATTTTTATTGTGATGGAGACGATTTTTTGTTCACCTTTGTCATTTGCCACAAAAATATGTTTGATGACGGTGTCTCGCGTGGCGGCCCACGCAGTTTTTAGCCTCGGCACTCTAGGGGCGCAATGAATAATCGGTGCCAGCCAGGGTGGTGCGCGCGAGCACCGCCCGGCCCAAGAAGTGACAGCTTTGTCACATTAGACCACTTCCATCCATCAAAGTGCCTGCAGCGAAAGGGCCGCCCAGCCCAACATAATTCATCGCCAGCAGCCACTTCCTCCGCTTCCTCTTTTGTGTTTACGTCAAGTTATTCATTTCAAACTTTGCCAACGCGAGCCGCGCGCGCGTGATGGTAAATCAATAATTTCGCCCGCCGTTAGTACCTCCGCACTGTCCCGGCGAATTTATGCCGCCGACTCTCTCTCTTATCGTGCGGTCGGCCAAGATTTATGGCGTGCGAAACACCGCGGCACACATCAACGGTCGCGCACAGATTTATCTTCAAAATCCGACGATGTGTCGGACCCACGCACCAAATTTCTGAAATTTTATTTTCTAGCTTTATCTGCGATTCCTTTCCGGTAGACCGCGCAAATAGAATAATCTCTTTAATCCTTTTGCTTCAACACAAATTTGAAATTTTTATCCCCAGCCTTGAACGCAGCCTAATTCCTTGATGACGATAAAATATCCTAATTAAGTGACAAAAGTGATATTTCTTCCCTCAAGTGGCTTTCAAATTCTTCCGTAATGCAACAAAAAAGTCTTAAAAATATATATAGGATCATAAAATTGGACAAGTAACAATTATATAAAGGCAAGACTGCGAAGAGCGATATATGCGTCTCTTTTAATTAAGGCTAAGTAAGGAATACTTGGCGTTGAATTTCATATTTCATTTCAAGTTTTATTAAAAAGAAAATAATAATAAAATAGCAATGTTATCAATAAAAGAGTAGAATATGAAAAATCGTGGCTAGAATTTGTTTGATTTATTACTTTGTAATGTAATTTTTATGACACACATACGTACTTGCATCTAACTAGAAAACATTTGGATTTTTCAGTAAAGAAAACTAGTTTGATTTTTACATGTATCTCTTTCATCTCCTCTTTTATTATTCAATTTCAATCAAGATATAAACATAAATTTTTGAATAAATTTCACAAAAGCATTCTTCTTGTAAATACAAATCTACTTAATTTCATTCACGCTGGATTTAATCAGAAGGAATTCATATTTCATTTTAAAAAGCAGCAAAGGAATTAATATTACAGAGAAATGACTAAAAAATTTCGAAATGCTGCCATTGTTGTTTGCTTCACATTTCAATTTCCTTTTATTTGCGCACGAGAGCGCAAATAAAGACTTTGTATATAATGTAGCTGTTGCAGCAGTTTGTGATTTCTTCGAGAGGCACCCGAGAGTGTGGGTGTATTTTATATATACAATATTGATTGCACGTGTGCGCGTGATATGCATGCTCAAGAGCGTACTCACGACGCGGTTTCTGCTGAAAAAAGAATTTTTCTGTGGTGATTGCGAGAGTTGGCTTTTTTTGTATTTTTTTATCCCATGGCTAAAAGCTCGTTTTCATTCAGATATAGAAGTATAACATGGGAAAACGCGGTGGAAAATATTATACAAACATAAGTACTTGCCCGAGTTTACATTTCCCAGATCGATCCGACTCTGCACTGATAAAAATATTTTTTATAAACATTTCCTGCGCGAAAACATGGAACTCGTTTTAACTTTTTTACATTAAAAAACGCCGAGCTCTCGTAACGCACCTTTTCACAAAGGGAGAAAAACTGCGATCGAAGTGGAATGAAAAGAAAACGAGAGAAGGCACAATGGCCGAGAAAGCGGCCGACAAAAGAAATGACATGCAAACGAGTATTCTCCGTCTTTCTTTTTCGTTCTTATTTCCTTTGTATTCTTTTAAAAAGGGGCGCCTGCAGCTCTAATGAGAGAACAGGCAGCCGTTTAATCAAATTTTTCATCGATCACCAGAGCGCACAAATTTGCACCACACTTTTCTTACTTAGACCCTTCTAATTAGAAGAGGACTTGGTATCGCTTTCGTACGTTTCAATTTATTCTGCGAGCAGAATTGAAACTTCGTAACGTATTCGGAGAAACTTGAATGGTTTCGCATTTGACTGCAAATTGAATGGAATTGTGAAACACATACCCACTCACAACACGATTGTTCTGGAAGTTTGCAATTTCCATAAAATTGTTTACATGAAAGACTGACAGGATTATTATTCACTATTTATTAACTTCTAAATAAGTATTTTTCACTTGTTTTCGGAAAATTTAGTGAATATTGCACACATTAAGAGTTTCAGAAAGACAGCAGCGTTGATTTCAATTTGTATTTGAGGATATTATTCAGAAAAACATAAATTTTTACAGATTATTCTTAGGTATTTAAATTTTAAATTGTATAAGAGTTTGATATTTTGAATTTAAGGAAAAAATGCTTCACAAAAAGATTGTTACTTGTAGCTCATTATTCATATGCAGGACAAGAATTCGGTATTTGATTTACATTTCATTATAGTTTATATTATTTATATTATTTTCATAAATTGTATTGATTTTTAGCATAAAATCTGATTTTTAGCATAAAATCCAATTTTTACTTGTATTCAGGTCACCATCAATTGTGTATTATTTACAACCCAGATGATACAGAATTATAATATCGGCGAAAACAGTTTAAGAATCCCTTTCCAATTTTGCTTAGAGCTGAGGATACTCATTGAAATCTAAAGTTTAATTTTCATAAAGCAAGAGCAGGTGTATTTTATTTATATTACTAATAAAAGTAAATAAGCTTGTTCTGAGATGAATTGACTTCTCTATTTTTATTTCATTTTAATACTATGTAGTTTTTTTCCTTTTTGTGAATCAAATTTTTCATGAAAGGGCTAACTTACAATATGAATTTCTTTTTTTTATTTATTGTAGAAATTTGGAAAGTTTTTCTGCATTTTAAAAATTTTAATAAAAAATTAACTGTTTGGTTTCGGTTTGAGAAAAGGGAATTCAATTACAATTTTATGAACGCTATCAAAATTAGGTCAATCGCTAAAGGATTCAGCTCGTTTAGAAGTTATCCAACAACAAGTCGATTTGCATGTGAATTCTCAAACAATATCGCAGCCCCGGAGAAAATAAAACGCGACCGATGAAGGAAAAATGTTCGAAAAGTTTTTCTTTCGGCGCGCTGGCATTTGCATGCAAAGAGACACTTTTAAACGCAGGAAAACTTATTTCTGTTGTTTCCCAAAACGGAATGTAGGCAAAGAAGCGTGTTTGTATGCAAAACCGGAGGGACCAAAAGGAGTGCGAGGAAATTCGTCGGCCTAGCTGCCAAGCGCAATATCGGGCGACAGAGTTTTGCTGGCAAATCCGTTGGTGGTGGTGTCACAACAAAATGTGTCTTCTAATCCTGTCGTGCGGCTCGTTTTAATATAATATCGCCGCACGTCAAGCCGAACGCGCGTTAAATTTTGCCAACGCACAGAGAGCTCAGGAGATTTCCTCTTCTTGCCGTTCAATATAATCCGACCTGCGGCTTAATTACTTTTAAATCCCAGCCATCAAGCTTTGCACGGAATTTTTGTCGTAACTTTTTCCTCCAACTCTCCCAGGCAATCAGTTTCGCGGATTATGCAGATACAACAAATTTTCTAATTTTATACCACTTAAAGCGAAGAAAGTTACTAATTAGTCTAACACAGTTTACGTCCTATAACAATGCAAAGTGTCAGTCAAAAGTCAATTGATTGTGTTGCAGTTTTAAGAGGAAATCTAACAACTATCGACTTTGCTACAGAAGTGGATACAGTGTATAAAAATCTTTGTTTAATTTGATTGAAAAGTATAAAACTTTCAGGTTTGATTATATTTCATGGAAGGTTTATTCTGCCTCTATCTACTTCAATTATATAAAATAAAGAAAATTAAAAAGAAAATCTGGTTTTAAAGAGCGATTAAAATAATAAAAGCTAAATTTTATTTTGTAATAATTTTCATTACATTTAATGAAAGAGTAGTAAAAATATTCATAAATTTAAAAATTAATAAATTTTATTTTCAATAATCTGAATTAATTTTTTCCTTTCAAAAATTTATTTTGCATTGCTCAAATCTAAATTTGGAAAAAAGGAAAGTAAGCATAAAAATTAAATAAAAATAACTAAAGATATGTGATTTAAATTCTTTAATAATTTCCATTGCGCTATTATACAAAAATTCGTAATTTTCGTTCAATTGAAAGACAGAAATGTTCAGTTCAGATGTATAATAACAAAGCAGAGATGTTTACCAATTTTAGAAATATATTTCCTAATCCTAACTCTCTATTTTACTATTTTCTTCACACCATGGTGTAGATCCGCGAGGGGTAGATTATCGTACAAAAAGCGCCGAGGAACAAAACGTGCTCGGGATGGAACGGATTTCCGCAAGTGCAGCGGGACGTATATTTATATAAATGTAAAGATGCGTGTATGTTTTTCTTATCCGTTGGGACGGTGTGTTTTTTTTCGTCGAGAAAACCAAGAGTGTATTTTTTCTACATGTTAATGCGAGGCCAAGCGGCGGGTGAGACAGGAGGTGGCGGTCGTTTTTCCATTCGGGGTGCTGACGTTGGGCGGCCGGTTTGCCAGGACATGCGCGTGCTGGTGCAGATGCAGACTCAGCCCTCGGTGCTCCTGAACATACAGCGAAAAAACGCGGTGAGATTTATTGATCTTATTAAGTGGCCAAATATTTCATCGCAACAATGCAGGCCGGCTATTTATTTAGCCGAGGCAATTTGCGAGCCTGCTTTTTGCGCCGACGCTTTTCTATTACACGAACGAGCCCGCTTCTTTTGTCCCTCGTGGCCGTAATCAATTTTGTGCATGCGGTTTGCGTCGTTAAATTAATTGAAACTGGCGTTCGGAATTTAGCTCTATGCGGATAAGTTTAAATAAAACAAGAAAATATTATATTTTCCTCCATCGGAATCATTAAGGCACTTTCAAAGACCGATTCAATTTATCTTTGATGGTATCAAAATGTACCAACATGCGTCTAATGTCGATATCGCGTGAGGGAAAAACGGAAGCGTCGCTCGTAAGTAATTCAGGCAGAGAGGTCAGGTGGTGTGTGACAAATAGCTTTGAGTGATTTTATTTGTTCAATAATATGTTTTACAAATTATGGAGGAGTCGGACTATTGGTTTGATTATTTTCAAAAGAGGGTTTCAATAAAGAGCAATTTAAATATTACTTTTGATTTTTAATTAAAACTACGATTTATATCTGTGCTTTTTTCCCTGCTTATTTAAATTTTTAGCATTTTTTACATCCATATATTGTTAAGTTTAAATAAAAACTGAATAACTTGCAGATTTTACATGTCAGTTAAATTAAAACTGAGCTGCCGGGAATGTGTTAAAATTTGATTTAAGAAATTTTGTAATAAAAATCTTCAATTTCATCCTCAATTGAACCAATTTTTATTTCGCAATTCATTCTTTCTTCTTTAAACTTGCCTTTGGAACCGAGAAGTCGTCGGCGTTCGGATCATCATGGACGGGCGTGGGTGGTGCGTTGTCCTCGGTGTCCGGCGAGAGGACGGAGCTTGTGTCCAGGCTGCAGGCGGACAGCAGCAGCAGGCTCATTGATGCGTGTGGTGTTGCGTAAAGCGATGAAGCGGATGCATAGAGGGGCGATCGGCCGCCGCGCAGACCAACACCCTCCTCGGGGGCGCTTTCGGGGGCACCTTGGGCGGGCACCGACGCACCCCCAACAGCACCTTCGAGCTCGGTTGCTTCGCGAACGGCGGCAGGACTCGCTGCCGCAGAGGGGTCGGATGATGTGGGACTGCTAGTACTACTGGAAGAGGATGAAACACTGCTCCTAGAGGGGCACACCGAGAGGACAGGCACAAAAGTTCTATGTTAATTATATCATTCAACTATTTGGAAAATTATTAACGGTTCTAGCAAACAAATTTTTCTGATATTTCACTTTTCAACTACTGATTGTTCTAAAATATTTATTCTGGTACTCTTTAAACACTTTGAAATTTAATAGTTAATTAAGCAACAAAACCCCATAATTAAAATTACCACTTTTTATTAAAAAAAAACCCAAAAAATCAATAATGATAATAATAGGAAGAAGTTTTTATGTTTTTAAGAACTTCTTATTTTGGCTACAGAAATATTTTATACATTGTTAGACTAATACAAACATTATTATCTAAGCATGAGTTTTCAGGTTACGTTTAACCTTTTCTCTTATGAAATATATTAGCGTATTTTACAGAAGCTTGAACTTCCTAATCTTGCTTGATACAATCTTGATTAACTAATTAAGCTTCTAGCTCTATATAATTTCTGCTCAGAAATGATTTTAAAAATTAGGAAAATCAGCCTGTGCGGCTTTGAAGTTTTAGATCTAACAAAGCCTGTTTAGCGAGCGATCAAAATCTGCAAGTGTCATGACGTGGAAAGCGCGTCAAATTGGATGGAACTCGTAAGATTAAAGAGATTAAGCCATCCGAAGGCAGCTGGGCCCCCCTAAAGCCTCATCTGGAGAGTTCTGGGCTATACGTCGCCAGTCACTAATGTCACTATCAATTTGCTAGCACAGATTTTTATGAGAATTAATTAAAATTTCTAATCACGAATCAATCAAAAAGATGCTTAAATTTGAATTAAATACAAATGATTTATCAATTTTAGTCATGGTTTTTATTTATTCTCATTAGAATTTTCAAAATTAATTTGTAATGTAATATTCAATTAAATTCAAAATATTTAATTTTCAACATTACAAAAAAAATGTTGGAATTTAATTTCTTTAATTTAAAATGTTAATTAATTAACCTCTGTAAATGTATTTGATTTTTGGCTTATTAAATTCTCCCAAGCTTGTTAGTATATTGAGAAGTTTGCGCTGCATTTCAGATTTAAACTTTGGCCCGACCAACGCTCTTGGTTTTGAGTCTCAAGTTGCCTTGTTTTACAATTAGACGGGCACATAAAACGCGACCGCTCTTTGAAACGAATTAACTCCACCGCGAGGTAGAACCGAAACTTTTAATGAAGGAGGAGGAAACTTTGCTAGCAAATGGTCCGAGAGTAAAGGGCCATTCATCATTTCGTTCACAAGAGACACCCCCGCGAATTTCGCGCCCCAGGCATTACATTTTATATATGAAACATTTCCACTTTCAAACAAACAATCGCGGAAAATGCAACGAGAGACTCTCATTGCGAGTTTAATTAGAATTGCGAGAGTAAATATGTATGTTTTTAGAAAGGAGCGATTTGAATTCCCCGGCAGGGCTGCAATGCGCCGAGCTCCATCAGCGGCATGATTGATGAGGCGTATTTACAGATGAAAACGGTGGGGAGGTGCGTATAATAAATAATATGCCAACATTAATTTTGGAAGCTGTGAAAGGAAGCGAAATTTCCAAGGCACATCGCCAGCCAGGCAGAAAGAGTGAGAAAAGAGCAGTGAGACAGTTGAGCAAGGCATGCGTCTACTTATTCAGCAAATATGTCAAAAGATAGCCGCGTAACTAGAACTTAAACTTTTCTTGCACTATACCTCTAGTAAACGTCCAGATCGCCAGAGTAGAATCTGCACAGCGCCGAAACGAAATGAAAACGTTGAAGGAAAAAGAAAAATAACTTTGATGAAAAGTAAAGTTTAACCACAATTTATTAGAAGGGGAATTAAAATTTAAAAATGTCAAAATAATAAAAAATAAAAGAGAAGGAAAACTGGTTAATAATTGAAACCACCAAAGGATTAACATTATAGATTTTGATATTAAAATAAAATATTTTTAAAAACAAATTAAAAATATATTTAATATTAAAACCACTTTTCAACCAAATTTTATCTCCCTTAATACATAATGGATAATCAATCACAAAAGAATTAGAGTTTTGCCTAATTCAAGAAATTAAAAAAAAAAGTAATAGCTGACTTTTTTATCGATCATAAACCAAAATTACTATTCATCTTTGGTGATTTGAGTTGCGGGTCAAACAGAAAAAAAAACTAATAAATTAATCAAAATAATTCCCATGGGCAGTTTTTGTACAAATATCCAAGAAAATTATACTAGCATTAATACTAAACTATAACTCACACAACATCAAACTCGTCATCGAGTGTATTTGGTTTATATATTTCTTCAGAAGCACAGAGTTTTTTTTGGTTTAATTCCCAAGCACCGGCTGAGATTAATTTTATTTTGCTGTCTTACATACACACAACAAGCGCTGGCACACAGAGATTTGTGTATTACAGGACCGAATTAACTTTTTGGGTATACAAAGCACGCAGTGCGTCACAGAGTTTTTTCAGATAGTTCGCAAATAAAGCAGCATAATTAAGGAATAAAAAATATATATCTTTTGGTAAAATAAAATTCACAGAAGAGGAAATAATGTTACAAAAATAAACGGAACGAAAACTTACTCGCACAAAGAAAAGTGTGTGCGTGTGTGAGAAAGTAGGAAATTCCACCATTTGGAGAGATACACACAGGAAAAAATAGAGAGAGATACACAACAAAGTTAGCAAAAATCCTTTGATGGATGATGGAGAGGCGGATTTAGATTGAAACTGAGGAAAAGAAAGGAAAAATTGAGCAAAGAAAAGGCGCAGCAATCACGATATTTGACAAACAAATGGTGACAGAGTGCCAGAAGAGTGTAGCAGAGGAATTTGAAAAGTGGGCCATGTTCGTGAGAAATGCCAATTCCACTTCTATTCTCGACATATTAAAAATTACATTTTGCTCTAGCTTGACTTAGCAAAAATATGTTGTGTAAATATCTATCTTAATTTTAAGCTCTAGATTTCTTTCAATAAGAAGTATACATCTGCAAAAAATTTTCAATTAAAAAAATTCTATTATTATTCCGACAGAAATTATTTTTTCACTTTGGTCCAAACAACTCTGAACAGCTACACGTTTTTGAACAATTATTTTTAATATACACGGTTTCGCTTTCACAATTCAGGCACCACCGCAAAATGTTGACTTGGTAATGGGGATGTGTGGGTGACAATATATGTAGATTAAGCATAAATTTGGAGCGGTTAGTATAGTAATGTATATGCATGTAGAGTATATAGTGCGTCCCTTGGCCAGTATTATAATTAATGTAAATGTGGAAACATCTCTTTGGAGGATGGACAGAGGAGATGCAGTAAATGTCATTAGCAGTAAAGAGAAATGCTCTTGTGGCGTTTCTTGCGCAACAGAGCTCTGAATCCATACCTGCGACTGTGACCTGGGGAGCCGCCAGGGACCACCGACTCGTAGGTCGACACCGATTGCGGCCTTGAACTTCTGGAAGGAAACCAACCCCGGTTAGATTGGAATACAGGAAATTATTAGACACACAAAAATACTGCGGGAAAACTCAATGGAAAAAAATCAGTGATTAATTAATTTTCTTTAATTGGAGAAAGTTAAATTTAAAAGTTTAAATTTAAATTAGATACTTGAAAATTTAATGTAAGAAATTGAAGGTTTATGATTCAAGATTTATGTTAAAATTTTCAATTGACATCAAAATTTGAAGTTATTTTTTGAATTTTTCATCTTTTTTATAGTATTATAAATTATAATTATATACTTTTAATTTAAAGTCTGACCTTTTGCTTCCGTTTTGGTGCAATCTGACAGCTGTGAGCAACTCTACTACGGACTCTGTCAATCGTGGCTGAAAGGTTTGCTGCAAATAAGGCGCAAGTGGGCGCACGGTTTATTAACATGTAATATCGAGCACTTGTAGAGCAAACGGTGCAGAACAAGAAGTCGATTTACTTACAGGTAAAGGCATTGCCCTCATCTCGCGCAGATCAATATTTCTGAAATAATCACACACCGATATTTCTTTGACGGAGGGAATTCTGCCACTGGGGTGGTTGAAAATGTACTCGAGCACGCCCAATGCCTAGTAAAAGGAAAATTATTATAAAACAAGAATTTCTGGATAAAACGAATATAATTTTTTTACCTGGGGGTTGTCTTGAATGTCGGCCAAGTGACCTGGTGTGGGCTGCGGGGTGCAAAGCTCGTACCCCGCACACATTTCAAAGAGGACGTGGCCAAAGCAAATTGAGTCCAATGCGGACGGATCAGACCTGGCTCGTCCCCAAATGACAGGGTGCACCCTGGATGAGAGGCCGAGCAGCGTGTTTTCAAGACCAGTTAACCTAAAATTTAACCAAAAAGATGTTAAACAGTCAATAAATACCACAAATTTTTAAATTGAGGTTTACTATAAATATGATTTTTTAAACTCAAAGTAATTTTGGCAAGCAAAAATCTAACTTTTTGTTAACAAATAGCTTTGTATAAAAATATATAATTTATTTTTATTAAAATTTACATAAACTGGGCAATAAAAAAGGTTCTGTCAAAAGTTTTTGCTAAGTTCTTGCATAAAAATATTGTTAATCAAAAACTGATTTAAACACGCATTATTTTAATTTAAAAAGAAATACATTTTTTTTATGTTCCAAAAATTTTCAGGTTATAATATATTTAACTATCTGCATGTAATTATTTTGTTCTAACCTGGCAGCACCGTTTTGCAAAATTATGTTGCCAGAGTGCAAGTGGCCGTACGACGGAAATCCTCGTTCTTTCAAGAAAATGAGCGCCTCCAAAATCTGCCTGCCAATGCGCTGCACTTGGGACGCAGACATGCCGCTGCTTCTCTGGGCATATTTCAAACCCCAGTCCTCTTGCCAGCTGCTCTGTAATTTGGGTGGTTTTTATTGTTACAGCTTTTCTCTTGTTCTTTATTTCCTTCTTTTTGAGTTGTTAATTGCACTACTTTCAAAGAGAATTACTTTGTAAATGAAGTCCTTGAGGCTGCCTTTTTGATTCAGCGGCAACACAGTTACCACTTGGTTTTTGCCACTGAGCTCAACAAAATCCACGTCCAGGATGGGGTAAATGTACGGGTGCTGGAGGGAGACAAACAAGTCCTGCAGGGTCTCCCTGCTTGCTTGGGTGCAACTCAGGGGGCTGTTCGAGCCTCTGACCTGCAGCAGGCTCAGTAGCCGCTCCGTTTTGATTGATGTGTCTTTCACGACGAACCAGTGCTTTTCCAGACGAGATCCTGCAAAGTAATGGACAATTTTATAAATCCGAACTTGAAATTAATTGGTTTAATTTATTTTAATGAAAATTTCAGGTTTCAGTTAAATACACGTTATAAAAATTCAAATATAATTAATTGATTTTAATATTTAAAATTCATTCTTATTGATTTTTGTTTCCTTTTAGTCCATATAATAAAATAAATTGCTCTTTCAGATGAAATTCGTGAAATTTTGAACTCGTATTTAGCATTATTTTATATTTTTATTATTTCTGTTTCATTCCTAATCAACAAATTCTAATTGGAAATTTATTTACAGACTTAAAAATTTATTATATTTTTGTTCGTAAATAGTTTAATATAATTAAGTGTAAGTTTAAAAAAAAAAAATCCATTGACCATTGAAAAGCAAGAGCTTTTGTCGTTCAAATTATACCAATGTCACTGAGCTGCTGCTTGAAAATGTATCTGTTGGAGTTGTACAGATACTGTTGACACTTGAAATTGGCCTTGTCTCTGGTGGCCGACCTTTGGGCCTTGTTCTCCATTTCCAGTCGCTCCTGCTGGTGGCCATCGTCTTCCAACGCTGAATATTCGTACCGTCCATTTCCATGTCTGCAAATTATACCAAAATATTACAATCCACCCACCCAACAGTTTGAAAATAAGCAAAATCTTGAAGCATTAATTTAATATAACTCATTGTCAGTTTATAATGTAAATAATAATTATAATTATCTAAAAGTTTCATTTGCATCATGTGGATTTTTTCCTAATAATTGAAATCTCAAGTGGAGAAAATAAATCTAAAAAATTAAAAATTATGTAATGTTTTTACAACTTCCATATTTTTCCTATTTAACCAAAAAAGAAGAGAGTTTAAATAACTCAATTTTTTAAAATTTAAAAATAATTTTCAACTATAAATTGGTATAAATAATAAAAATTTTACATTTTAAAATATAATCATAAAATATATCAAAAATGTAAGTAAATAGTAAATTTTATTTAAACAACTTTATTATCTATTTTGACAAAAACACTCATTTTACCATTAGCTGAAAAAAAAATTATCTGTCTTTCCCAAGCCAGGATTAAATTTTAAATGCTTGCTATAAATTTGTTATACTACCGCTCTAACATTTGCAATTCACAGTTATGAAAGCGAGTCATGCATGTGAATCTGAAATGGCCCATTCGCGTGCACTGACACACATATTAACACTCGCCAGCGTAATACTCTTAGGCCCACTATTTCCCTTGCAAATTCCGTCGGTAAACAAACCCGAATATATATTTTCGCCCTCATTAGTCATGCAACAAATTTCAACGCACGTCAATGGAAGGGTATATCGTGCGCGTGCAAGAGTGTAAATACTAATCGTGTTACGCCGCCGAGCATAAATCAATTTGCAGGCAAAAAAAAAGAGTGGGAAGCCTAAAAAGGAGCTGCTTCCGCTGTTTCGAGCAGAGCAGTCTTTCGATTTCCGCTTCGTGGCTAATTTTAAATTACAGCTTTCCGATCCGCAAGCACCCGGGGAATTTAATCTGAGAATTAATCTCGCTCGGCGTTATTCAAGCATGGGTTTATCTCTCAAGATTCTTTTTTCTTTGACGACCCGCTGCTACTAAATTGAAAGGGAAAATCGCTTTTCATGATGGTTTGATGTTTAGAAACAGATATAAAGAAGATTGACAAAAACGTTCTCAACACAATGCGGGCTCTAGTTAAATTTGCATGAAATTCATTATGTTTGCTAAAACAATATTTAGGTTTCCCCACAACCACAAAGTTATGACAGAGTTGAAAAAATGTTGCATTAAATTATGGTTGATTTTTTTCAAATTTGTCTCTACCAAATCAAAAATTTAATTATTAATTTTTATATTGAATATCTGAATCAAACCATTTCCAACCCAAATTTTTGGAAATATTTAATTGAAGATTAGCTACATTCTCTATAAAAAATAGATTTGGCAATCAGGTGGACTAATATCAATACGGAAAACAAAATTTTTGAACTGTCCTTAAAAAGGTACCAATTTAAAATTCTTTAAAACTTCATACAATGCAAATGATATATTTTTTTTCTCAAGGGAGACTTCATAAATATGCAAAAACTCGTCATTTTTATGTACATCTGGCCAGTTCGGGTACCTGATTTCCAGAGGAGGAGAATTGGTCAAACTTTCCCTCGAACTGCCACCGCTGCTATTGATGGTCACACAGCCCAAAAGACGAGCCAAAGCCGGCACCCGCGGCCTTTCGATCGCCTCGGCCCCTCGCAAAGGTGAGTGTTCGCACATTTCCTCCATGCTGGAGGCTCTCAAAGAACTTCTGTGACGGTGTTCGGGATCAAATTGTATGCTTAAAAGTTTAAATTAAAGCTACACTCTATATTTCTGTCTCTCTAAAATGGATTTATGGATCTATGGAACAATGAATATTTATTTGACATCTGATAAAAAGATACAAATTTCTAGTTTTAGATACATATTAAATTTTAAACTTAAAATAATGTTGGTACTTGAAAAAGAAAAAATTGAAAACTTATAATCATCATTGATCAAGTTTTTTTTTTAATTTTCTAATTTATGTATCAAATTGAGATAATTGGGAATTTAATTTAGTAACTCTGCAAAGTTTTATAAATTCTAAATTAAATCAAAATTATTTTATCTATGTGTACCTGGCACTATGTCTGGGGGAATTGGTGGGGCTGGAGGCCCCACTGGAGGCCACGATGGCCACAGCCGTTCGAAGGGAGCGGCCGTCGAACTCGGCCGCAGACTGCGTGCGTCGACAATTGAGAGGCTTTTTTCGTTTCCTCGGAACGTGGTTGGCAGACGCTTTCATTTGGCAAAAGCGGTCGTGGCCCGTGAGCTCGAGTTCGGACGGGTGATTTTCGGCGGCCGCTGCCTTGCGGGCCTGCATCTTGCTGTACAGCCCGAACATGGTGCCCGTGAGGCGGCCAAAGCAGCACTGCTCCGATTTCTCGGCACGGAATTATTTTGTATTTGCTCTGTCTTGCTAATTAGGCAGTGATAGGGCTTCGCGCCAACCACTTGGCCGCTTATTTTCATACCGGGCCGCGCTTGTTAATGGCCTTGGTGACCGACTTCAATAGCCGCCTATCGAACAAAAAGGGTTGGTCGAAGCTCGCGGACACTGACGCCTTGTTTTCAACCTTTGTGAGATTAATGCTCCTTTGTTTCACACCCCGATATTGATTAATTTTTTATTTTCATTCAAAGAGGGGTCAATTAATTTTTTATAACCATCATGATTTCCGTGAACTACTCCGAAAGTTTTATAAATCAAAGAAATAGGTTTGCAAACGATCTCTAAATTTAATTTACATATTTAAATAACAATTAGTTTAATTTTTATAGTTTGGGAAATAATATCTTCAATGAAAAGAGATCGATAAACTGCCGCACAACGCGCCAATATTCTTATCTAGTTGGCGACAAAACTTTCCGCCAATAAACTTTCTCAATATTGAAAAAGAGTATCAGATTGTTCGCCCGTTCTTTTATCCTCTTGCCAAGACTTTCTCGAGCCAAAAGTCGGAGTAAAACCAAGCGTAATAATCAAGCTTATTCATTCAATACGTGTAGGGCTTGACTCGTCCGAGCAAATAAATGCAATATTCAATTCCGGTAAATGCTTACCACACTGAATGTTAACGGGGTGAGAAAATCATGGTCGCGACAAATAGCGATCGAGTGCAAATCAGAAAAGTATAACATGCAAAGTGCAGTAGCTTTTTTACGGTGTGTGGCATTTAGTGAGACGTGCGTGCATGCAGTAGATAGGATTTAAAATCACCTGCACCGACAGACCCACCACGTGATGGCAGCGAAGAAGCCCAAAACGCAAACGGCTGCCAGAGCTGCGATCTGAAAGAGAGACAGACGAAAAAGAATAATTGATGAAAACGTGCGCACAGTCGTTTTACTTGTCAAATTAGAGAGCTTAAAGCTCACACACAGCAACTGTCAAAAGACTTTTTTAGTTATAAAGTGTTTAGCCAATGAAATTATTTTTAGTAGCGTAAATTATTTTCAGATTTAAAATTTGATTCTTCAAAACTTCAGATCTGATTTTCTAATAGTCCTTGGCGTACAAAGAATTAAAAAAAAATCCTAGAATACGTGGGCTCTGTTTTTCTATGGAAGTCGTCAATATTTTTTGTTATACATTATTAGAATATTGTGCATTTTTAAATTTTGTATAATATAAATTTTGATTTCAAGATATTTTGTCAAAGATATTCTTCCAAAATTGAGCTAATATCATTTCTATTTCATCGTATTTATTAAATTTTACATGCAATATTGTTTTTCCGATCCTGGTTTACTATTTTCTTACAAAATTTAAATTTGAATCTGCTAGAAAAATTTCAACTTTGACCTTTGGGTCCTTTGGTATCTCTCCTTATCAGGGAGCTACATGACTAGGCCGAAAAAACTTTTTCTCCTGCATTAATCAAGATCTAAAGTTAAAAGGGGCATTAGCAGCGGCCTTCCTTCCGATCGTAAAAGACGGCGCTCCAAAGTAAAGCCTCTTTTCTGAGAAATCGTTCTGTTTGGCCCAAACCACTTCTTGAGCAATCGCGCGGCCGAACGAAAACACGTCATTTGAAAGGGTTACGGCTAGATAGGAGCGAGTATAATCAATAATGAGTGGGGTCGTGCGAAAGAGTGCCTCGTTTGTTTTGCCAACAACCGAGATTTTCTTTCATCGCCGAGAGACGCGCACACGCATCGGATTACAAAGTTATGCAACCTGCGCGGGTCAACAGGCGAGCCGGCTGCATAATTGCATTAGTGGCAGGCGTTCTCTCGCTTGTGCAAACTGTTTCTTCGCTCATCACGTTAGGAACAAATGGGATGCGAGAGTGTGGAGATTGATTTCTATTTTTATAAACTATGTTGCTTAAAAAAAGTTCATGAAAAGGAGTGATATTTAAATTTTAATTCAAATGCAAATGCTGCATTGGTTGCTTAAAAATTTATGGAAAATTTTATAAATTCGAAGTTTTGTACTATGTTGAGATTAATAACTTTTCTCTGCGAAATTTTTTGTTCGAATGCAACCTGATTGATATTTTTAATGAAATTAATAAAAATCAAATTATCAATTGAGAATTAATAATTACAATTTTATTATTATTGAATAATTCCAATTCATATGTAAACGATTACATAGTAATATTGTGTGAAAAACTGAAGTGCTTAAAAAAAAGAAATTAACTTTTTCAATTAAATTGTGTCTGCTTTTCTCAATTAATTGCAAGCTATAAATATGTCAAAGAAAGTATGCATAATATATTTATCTGTATTTTTACAAATCAATAATAAACTCTTCCTTAGGAAGCCTATCTAATATAATTGTTAGGGGCTATCTCTTATTTTCAAATGGCACGCTAGTCATGTTCAACTGTCTTTCATTGAAATAGATTACCCACCACTGAAAGAACAGGCCAAATTAGAGATCAGCCTAGCGATAAATTGGAGATCGACGGCCGCTCAACCCCTCTGGAGAGTTAGGACTAATTTATTAGACTCACCCAGTGGAAGGAGGTGAAAATGCCGGCAGGTGCCAGGTGGTTGGTCTTCTCAAGCGCCATTATCACTATTATCTCGAGGTGTGCGACTCCTTCAGCAGTCGCACTCCTTGAACAAAAGATCGTCTTCTGATTCGGCGCCTACAACTCGTCTGCATCTGAAAAACAAAATTTTAAGTAATTTGATGATTAATTATCAATAATCATAATTACACATAGATTTAATTAGTTAAAAAGCGTAGCATCAAAACTTAAAAAATATATTATGTTCAAAAAATAATTGTAATTAATAATAATTGACTTTAATTAGTAACTAATTGTTTTTATTGTTTTTTTTTCATTTTATTTATTTTCCTTGTTTTTTTATTTTTTTTTAAAATCATATTTTATGAATTTAATTGGCAAAATCAACACAAAATTTCACTATATTCTAAATAAAAATACATTTTAATATACGCTAAAAATATTTTTGTTTTGAAGATTTCAAAATAATAGCCGCACATTTTTACTTCAAATCTATAAAAATTTTTTTGGTTTGTTTCAGATCTTCATTTACAATTTATCATTTTGAAAGTTGAAACAGCTCTCTCGCACTCACTCACCAAGTCGCCAACAAAGTACAAATTCTTCCGTCTGCTCACCAAATTAAATTTGGCCGCTTTTGCTCTCGCTCCGGCAGCACGGAATAAAAATTTAAGGTCCAGATTGTCTTGGCGAGAACTTTACAACTTGCTCACTTTGGCAGAGAATACGCAAGTTGGAGGGAAAGTCGAATGAGTTGAGTGCAGCGCACACACTAAACTCTGCGGGTTGAGTGTTCTGGCTGTGTATGTATGTCTTTGGCGCCGCCAAAACGGATCAATTTGAGTTAAAAATTAACGAGAGAGCAGCGCATGGGGCGAGTGGGAGCCTTCCAGGGAAAAAGAGGACGACATGACTGGACGCGCGTGACGGAATTTTGTCTTTCACCCTTTAGGAGAAAGAAAAAGCAGGGGACACTTAACAAGCACGCATGCACGAACGAACAGGAGGAATTTAGAATTTTATGGTGGAAGAACAGAAAAAGTCTTAATTAGTTTGCAAAATTTTCATATGAACACTTTTTTAGTGGGATTTTGCTAGAAATTCTATAATTCTATTTAACATTGTAATTTTGTTTTTATTTTTGTTATTAAATTTATGACGGCAAAAAGTCATCCTAAAATTATTTTTTTGCTCTATCATTAGATTGGAATTCCTACGAGGATAAAAAAACAGTGACTATTGTTAAAAGTTAAAATTCCTTAAATGCAGCGTACGTACCTCAAAATAGTCCACAAATTAAAAAGAAAAAAGGTTACTTTTGACAAGCGTTTGAAAAGTTACTTTTAATCCGACAAATAATCAGAAGCACACAATTTTCAAAGATTTAACATTTTTAGAATGAATTTTATATACTTTAAAAAGACTTGAACATCTCTAATAATTTCTTATAAAAATATAACTTTTTACTCCTATTCCTGTTATTTTATTTTTTTTTCTTCTTAATATCAAATTTATTATAAAATTTCCTAATAACCTGCCAGCATTTTTTATAAGGAAATTATGTGGATTTTTCTGTCTTGAATGGCTCTTTAAAAGTTTTTGAAATGCGTTTTTCCAAGTGCATCAAATACGTGTTAGATTTTTTCCTCGGAGAACAATGCGAAATCTTCTTCTTTTTTCTGATAACAATGAGGCCATTGTGCGGAGTTGAAGAGGACTCATTATCCAGCGTCTACGGTTTCTTCAACAACCCCGTCAGATATATGCGGTGACACGAAGAGTGAGGCAACTTTTAATTACTCATGCATGACCTATCAGTAATTACAGCGGTGGCATGGCTTGCTGCCGTTAACTAATTGGGAAAGGTTTTATGCTGAGACGACCAAAGTGAAAAGTCTTTTGTCAAGACTGAGTTTAATTTGAGTATGAAGGTTGTGAGGTAAAGGTAATGCATAAATATTAATTTACTACCATAGCAGCTGACAATAATTTTCTTTTTTTTGAATTTAAATAAATTAATTTTCTTGCTGTTGTTAGAAGCAAATTCAGTAAAAATAGCAATTAAACATTAAAATTAAACATTAAAATTCTAGTTCAACACTAAAAATGTTGTTAAAAAAAATTATTTAAACTAAAAATATTATTTTTAATAATAAATAATATAACCTTTTTCTTTTAAAAATTTTCCATCTTTTTTAAATATAATGCTGATAAAAATTTATTCTAATAGTCTTATCTAACCCTGCTATAATACTTCCAATATTATGATAATTACGGTACGATAGACAATTCGTCATAAAATACATTTCAATCCTTTCTATCTTGATACGACTTAATTGGATTCATGCATGTTGACTGTTGACTTGATAATTATGTGATTATGCGTTATTCTCCATGCGTGTTTCAACCGCAAATACTGCGGCATTGTTGCAGATGCACTTTTTGAGCGGGGCCACGTTCAAACTCACCTTCATCCACGGCCGCCCCGGGCTAATCGGCCGCGCCACTGACGACTCTGGCCGCCTGTGTGGCCGCCTCTTGAGCTGCAAGAAACGCGTTAAACCGTTTCAGCTGGCAATCGAGCCGTGCGCCTTCATCTCGCCGTGTGAAAACTGGACCACCTCGACCAGCATCCCCCGACTGCGGCTGCGCCACCCCCGAATCATGCACCCTTGCATGGAGTGTGCGGTATATTCCGACTATTCCAAGAAGTGCGCCAAGGGCCACCCGTATACGTGCACAACGGCCCCGAAATTCAAGGTTGAATATGATATTAAACGACTTATACGTTTTATAGAGTGCACGTGAAGAAATGAGATTTTTTATCAAAAAGGGGAGACGAGTGTATAGAATAGAATATAATTATACCGGAATATACGTCGCACAAAGTAGTTATATTTTATCAATGTCATATTCATAATATTGATTACAAATTTGACACACACACAAAATATTAGGGGGAAATACACTTTTTGCAAAATCAATATAATAATTATTTTGATTTGAATTGCGGAATAAATTGCATTTTTTCAAACTTAACTTAATATTCGTTTTAATTCAATCTGTAGTTTCGCTGCTGTATGTCGCTTAAATAATAAATTAGCTGTGCGTAGGAAAAAGTTTCAAAATTAATTTAATTAAATTATTTATTTATCTGATTAATTTATTCTCCATTGAAAAACACAGCATCTTACATCAGGTCAATACACAGAAATTAAATTAATATAAACTTGATCAAAATTAATAATTAATATTTCTTTACCATCATTTTTTTTATCTTAAATACTTTATTTATATCTTACTATATATTTATACTTATTTATTATTGTTCACCTTTGGTTAGTCGGGTTGTTGTTGTTGTTGTTGTATTTTGATTTAATTGGCTATAGTTAATACCATTTAGCCAGGTCTTATTTATGTTGGTTTAATTTTTACTAATAGTTGTATTTACACTTAGTCGGGTTAGTCGAACATTTTATTTGGCATATTTTATGTGGTTGGCAGTTCTTAGTGTCGAAGTCAAAACATGTAAGGTTGGTACACCGGAATTACATGCGCATCACGAATCGTGTAAATACAGTAGCGATTCGCCGGATTTCTAATCAATTTTTGAGTTTTCCTGCTTGTATTTCGGCCTTTTTGCGACATGAAAACAGTTTTGTGAACGTTTGACGTATCAACGATTGATTTTTGAAGCAAATTTTGCTGAAATTTTTCCTGAAGAGGTGCCGAAACTTCTTCCAAAATGCCGCGTGTGATGATCAAGGGCGGTGTTTGGAGAAACACCGAGGTTTGTTTCAAGATATTTCTAATTTTATAATTGTTCAATTTCTTATTTCTCCGTTTATCTTGTTAATTTTTTCAGATAATTTGATACTTTGTTGCTTTTAGACAGCAATTTTCATAAATATTATTTCAAAATTGATAATTGAAGTCCAATTTTGATTTTCAATTTACAACTTTTGTGTTTCGACCCGGTTGGCTTCATTTTTTATTTTTACTTCCAGGATGAAATCCTCAAGGCGGCGGTGATGAAATATGGCAAAAACCAATGGTCTCGAATCGCATCGTTGTTGCACAGAAAGTCGGCCAAGCAGTGCAAAGCCCGTTGGTATGAATGGTTGGACCCGAGCATCAAGAAGACCGAGTGGAGCAGGGAGGAGGATGAGAAGCTACTGCACTTGGCCAAGTTGATGCCCACACAATGGAGGACCATTGCACCCATCATTGGCAGGACAGCTGCTCAGTGTCTCGAGAGATACGAATACCTTCTGTAAGTTATTAATTCATACATAATTTTTGTAAATAAACTTAACATTTTCATCAATAGGGATCAAGCTCAAAGAAAGGAAGAGGGAGAAGAGGGAATGGATGACCCGAGGAAGCTGAAGCCGGGTGAAATTGATCCGAACCCAGAAACTAAGCCTGCTAGGCCAGATCCTAAGGACATGGACGAAGATGGTTTGTGTAGAAAATATGATTTTGAAATTTTTTTAACGATGTTTTAATTTATAGAACTTGAGATGCTGTCGGAGGCAAGGGCCAGATTGGCCAACACTCAAGGCAAGAAGGCCAAACGCAAGGCCCGAGAAAAGCAGCTGGAGGAAGCCAGGAGGTTGGCTGCTCTACAGGTACTTCTAGAGTTTCTTTGGAATAATAAAAAAATGTACTAATTTTTTTCTTTTATAATCTCAGAAACGCCGAGAATTGCGTGCTGCTGGAATTGAAGTGCGTCAGAGAAGGAAGAAGAAGCGCATGGTTGACTACAATGCTGAAATTCCCTTTGAGAAAAGACCAGCTTTGGGCTTCCACGACACTGCCGAGGAAACTTTCAACCCTGACGACATTGATTTCAACCACTTGAGGCAGCAGCATCTCGACGGAGAGCTGCGAAGTGAGCGTGAGGAAAGGGATAGGCGCAAGGACAAGCAGAAGCTCAAGCAGAGAAAGGAGAATGATATGCCTATGGCCATGCTTAACAACCAGGTTAGTTGAAATTTAACTTTTTCCAAACGAATTTTTACTTATAAATAAATTTCTAGGAGCCAGCACGGAAGAGAAGCAAACTTGTGCTTCCCGAGCCACAAATTTCCGATCAGGAGTTGCAGCAGGTGGTCAAACTGGGGCGAGCCAGTGAGGCGGCCAGAGAGGTGGCCACTGAGAGTGGCCAGCAGTCTTCAGATACCCTCTTGGCCGACTACTCCCTGGCCACTCCCACTACGATGCAAACGCCTAGGACTCCGGCACCACAGACGGACAAAATCCTCCAGGAGGCACAGAACATTATGGCTCTGACGCATGTGGACACTCCATTGAAGGGAGGATTGAACACACCCCTTCATGAGTCAGACTTCAGCGGAGTTACCCCTCAACATGGGGTAGTTGCCACTCCAAATACTGTGCTTGCCACTCCATTCCGCTCTAATCGCGAAGGTAAGATTTTTTTTAGTTAAGTTAAATTAGTTTTAAAATTTTAAATCAATTTGAAATTTGTAAACAATTATTTGAAATATCTAAACTTGTTTTGATGCAAAAGTTAAATTCTATCAAATTAAAATACCTTTTTTTTAATTGGAAGGTTATTCAATTTTATCGTAGAAATAATTTGAAATTTTACCTTCAGGTGGTGGACAAACTCCTGGAGCGTCCAGTGTGGTCAGCTTCACCACTCCAGGGTCACAGACCCAGGGTTCTGTGAGCCAACAGACACCCTTGAGAGACAACTTGAACATCAACCCAGACGATGCCCTAGAAGCTGGTGGAGCAACTCCTGCAGCCATGAAAAGCTATCAGCGCCAGGTCCGTGACCAACTTCGTCAGGGTCTCAGCACCTTGCCCACACCTAAGAATGACTACGAAATCGTGGTGCCTGAAGATGAAGGGGCAGACGGAGGGATGGAGCCTATGATAACTGATGAGGATCAGGCAGACATAGATGCTCGACGAGAGGAGGAGATTCGGAGGAAATGTAACTTATTCTACTTTAAATTTGTCAATTTATTGATTTTTTTTATCATAGTACAAGAAGAACTGCGTGCAAGGTCTCAGGTCATTCAGAGGGCGTTGCCAAGACCGGCTGACATGAATATGAGCATCATTAGAACAGACGCTCAGTCTCTGACTGAAATGCAAAAAGTATTTTTTATTTTTTAACTTGATTGAATGAAAGCCAATCAAATTTTGTTTGTCTTTAGGCTGAGGAGTTAATTAAGAAAGAAATGCTGGTCATGATGCATTATGATGCTGTTAAAAATCCAACTCTGTCCCAAATGGGCATCAAGGATGACAAGATGAAAGGGTCAAAGCCATCAGGTCCGTTGAACGAGTCGCAGTACTTGAATTTCCTTCAGAAAAACCCTTATGATAATTTTGATGAGAATGACATCAAATATGTAAGATTGAATCAACTGTTTAATTTTCTGAATATTAATTTTTTCTTAAAAGGCTAAGCAGTTACTTGCGGATGAGCTGGAAGTTGTAAAACAAGGCATGGGCCACGGAGATCTACCTTTCGACGCCTACACTCAAGTGTGGAATGAATGCTTGTCCCAAGTTCTGTATCTGCCGTCACAGAGCCGATACACCAGGGCCAACTTGGCCAGCAAGAAGGACAGACTGGAGGCTCTGGAACGCAAACTGGAGAATAACAGGCAGCACATGGCCAAGGAGGCAAAGAGGGCTGCAAAAATTGAAAAGAAACTGAAGATTCTTACTGGTGGATATCAGGTATGGAATAAAATTTTTTGCGTCAAAAAACTGGAATAAAAATCTGTTAAAATTTCAGTCTCGCGCCCAAGGTTTGATCAAGCAACTATTGGACTTGCATGATCAATTGGAGCAATCAAAGACGGAGCTGTCTACTTTTGAGTTCCTACAAAATTTGGAGCGTAATGCCATTCCAAGGCGCTTGGAGGTAATTCTTCTTTAATTTTATTTAAAAATTCCTCTAAAATTTATTTTTGTTTCAGTCTGTTACTGAAGATGTCAAGAAACAAACTGATAGAGAAAATCAGTTGCAAGCAAAGTTTGATATGCTCTCGACTCACTGCGGCCAGTCTGAAAATCTGCGAAAGAGGCTGGCTGAGAGTGTGGAGATGTTGAACCCTCAGGCTGGCCCCTCATCCAGGGATGATGAATATGAAGAAATGGAGCAGGAGGAAACCGAGGTCGGGGATGTGGAAACTGAAGTCGAGGCAGTGGAAACTGTTCAAGAACAACAGCAAGAAGATGAGGAGGATGAAGGAGAAGAACGTGCTGATGAAGAAAATGACGAAGAAGAGGAAAATGAAGAAGAGGAAGATAATGATGATGGCGAACAGGATTAAACACAGTTTCTAGGTATCAATAAATAAATAATAGTAGTTGTATGAATATCGTTTTTAGTATTTTCGGAAAACCAACATCTCAGAACAACACAATTTTTTTTTAAACTCTCTATGTTGATAATAGTGTTAAAGTTTTGCTACTTATGTTGAAAATTTCAAATTATCATCTCTTGCTCCAAAATTTTACTCTCTGGCTGCCTCTCTGACAGAAAATGAGCTGCTCGAAGAAGCTAAAAATTAAGTCTATGAAATAGAAACACTTTTAAAGAAAATTCAAACCTCGTCATCCTTAACTGTCCCTTGCAAGTTTTGCATCCTCTCTTGGAATTCTCTCAGATTTGCTGAAATAATTTCGCCATCTTTTGTTGTGTTGTGAACGAAGATTGCAAGATTCAGAACCACAAGAGGATCTGTCGTTTCAATCCGTGCCGCCTGTTCGAACAAAATTTTGGCCGCCTCCACAGCTCCCAGGTGCCAAAGAACCACTACTTCATTGTTTAGCATTTAAATAGAGATTTTTAAATTGTATTCTTGCCTGCCAAAAGCATGAAAGTTTTTCCTCGATAAGGCGATTGGTGCACCCAGGCTGACAAGAAGTGGAAAGAGGAAGCGTATTGTTGCATTACGAGATGAATAAGACCGAGGTTGTAGAGAATTTTGTTGTCGAATGGCGCCAGATAGTTAGCTCGTTTCAAACAGCACACAGCCTGAAATGATTTTATTTTACTTAACAATTTGGATTAAGGAATTTTTAATTTTTTTTTTTTATTTTTAATTTTTTTTCTATTTTTAACTTTTAGTAAATTCCTGCTTACAGCGACATATTTTTGCCTTTTTAGAAAGCACATTCCAACATTATTCCATAGAGCGGCCGACTCAGGCATAAGGTTCGCGGCCACTTTGTACCTTGCCATAGCACCGGAGACGTCATTTCTCTCTTGCAAAATGCATCCAGCGGCCAAAAGAGCGGCGCCGTTTTTTGTTTCCAGACTCAACTTTTCCAAAGCCGCGTTGCTCTGCCTTGCTTTTGCAAGCAATAACCCCAGACTCAAGGTCAACCCTGAGCCAGCATCCGAATTAGACCTGAATGGAATTATTTAAAACTCTTGAATTATTATAAGTTTTACTTTTCTGCTGCTGAAAATAGCTGAAGAGCGGCGTCTAAGTCGTTTTCCATCAAATATATATTCTTCAGTACCAGATAAGATTCGCTCTGGTTGCCCACTTCAATTGCCTTTTTCAGGTACTCCTTTGCCTTAGCGTATTGCTTCATATAAAAAAGACACACGCCTGATAAAAGGATTTCAATTTAGTCGGATTTATTAATTTTTTTTAAATATATTTTGCAAAATAATACAAACCAATATTGTGATAAATTTCCCAGTCTGCTTTTTGTAGAGCCTGTTCAATATCAACGTATGTTTCTAGAGCAGCGTCATGCCTGCCGGCAAGTAGCCTAGTCAGATTATTATTATTTTTTTTTTTAATTTTAATTTCATATCTCTAGATTTTACCAAGATTTAGCGATTTGTTTTAAATTCTCCAAATGTCCTGGATTAAAAATTTGACAAGCTTGAAAGAAGTCAAGTGATTCTTGCATTTTGCCTTCTTGCCGAAGTATGATTCCCTGTAAGAATAAAAATCCTGATTTATTTGTTAACGCAAGATTAAATTGAAATCCTGCCTGCATCATATTCGGAAAATAAGCCATTCCTCTCGATGCAAGTAACTGTTTGCCGATGAGCACTTTGCATTGTTGCGACTCTTTTCGGGCGTACATGAGGTGGATCAGCCAGTTGTACGAGTCAAAGGAGTGAACAACCCCTACCAAACAGGATGTATAGCCTGAAATTACCATTAATAATATTGTTACCTTTTCTATAGGGTTTGGTCACTGGCTCAGCTTCCATTGAAAGTGCTGCTTATTTTCAAAAATTCATATTCAACAAAGCCATTGTAACAACTTGACCGCTCTGGTCCGCACCTCTTGCGTGACTAGTTCCAATGAGCTGCCCTTTGCTGTAGAAAGTCGCACTTTCATAGTCCACTGCCGGGGCAAAATATCGACCAGCGGTCAGCAATAGAAAAGATTCATTCTCAATTTTTATCATGAAATTTAAAAGGATGGTCACCTTCAAATTCTCATTTTGTTGATAACTTGCAACTGTTAATTTAATAAACAAAAAATTCAAATTTTATTTTAATGATAAATAAATTTTTTAGTATGCTATTTCATATTTCCTCCCACTCCTAAAAGATGTTTTTTTTTCTTCATTTTTAAATAAGAAGATAAAAAGTTTTCTATTAGAAATGACTTGAAGAAATTAAAGAGTGTGATGTGATTTTTGCTTGAAACGAAATGTTTGCCATTCATGTTGCTAAGCAACCGTTGTTGCTATGAAAAATAGGATTCAATACTTGGGGGGGAACAGGTGTCTCTCGACATTGATTCAAGCAAATTCACAATTTTAATGTTGCATAGCTAAATATGTATTTTATTTATTTATTTTGCTTTTGACACTGAAATATCTCACACATATAAAGACATTAAAATTTTCTTTTGCCTCTATTTAAATAATGTATAGTTGTTTCTTTTTTTCAATCAGTGTTGTTTATAATTATATTACTCTATTTCACAGTAGCAGTTGCTATGATTTGGTTCACAGTGTGTATTTATTATTTCATTTTGATATTAAGTCTATTCTTTAAAATCTATAGATAAATTCTTATTACAACATAAAAGATCAGTGCAGGCTAGAGAAACTAAAGATGTATTGGAACTTTCAGTAAGTCTACAACATAATCACGTTTATAAATGTTGTCGAGGCTGCTCGAAGGATCACAAATTTCTGATTTGCACAACTACAAGAGTTAACATATTGAGTTAAAAATTAAAATTACAACAGTTATTAGTGCTTTAATGTATATTAATATGAAAAGGCCGACTCAGTCGGTCACAAAAACCATAACGAACCTCAAAAGGGTTTAGTGTTGATAGTGTTGCACAATTAGTGATATATGATAATTATTACAGTATTTAAGGTAGGATAATTACATAGTTAATATCGCTAAACAAACTTAAACTTGACTTCAAATCTTACATTAGCCTATAAAAAGTTAGAAAAAATCTTAGCTTATCAGCTTCCTTCTTGTCATCACCTTCAAAAAATCCTATACACATGATAAAAATCATCTCAACACCAAACTGTAAAATAGTTACAAATGGAAGCAAATAATTTTAAATGGATTTTATTAAACTATAGAGTAAATGTAAAGTGGAATATAATGAACAAAAGCTGCTCATATTCATATCAAACAAAAAATTTTGGATTAAACTTCTTCCAAGTTATCACATATGGAAGTCCACATATTGCTGATAAAAATTAGTAACATAACTTACATTGGAAAGTTAAGTGTGATCAATAATGTCAGACGAGTACGAAATTCGAGCATGCTATAACTTGATCCAATACAAAATTTATACTCCGTACCTGCTTTCACGACTAGTTAGACAAAATATCTCATCTCGTGCCGTTTTAAAACTACTTCAGCTCACCGAGCCAAACATTATAAAGGAATCTCACAGTAATAGCTCTGAAAAACAGAACAAAATGCAACTGCCCCTTAACTTTTAGCAGTACTTGCAAGGGACATCACAATACTTTCAAGAGAGTGGAGTAATTTATATCTGATTGCTGCAGGCCCCTGATATTTACAGTGAGAAAAATGAGAGGAAGACCTTCGGAGGAATGGGCACCAGGACGTTATCAGTACAGCGCTGGATGACCTCAGGCAGGTCCCTTTCGACAATGCAGGGATGGCCGAGGGACTGCCAAAAGAGGCATCTGCAGTTGCGGCACAAAGTCAGGGTTTCCGTAAACTCCTCTTTTAGGCCGTGAACTCTGAATCATACAAAACCAACATTAGAACAATGCAAGACAGTACTTTCCGTGCTTTTACTTTCTTAGTTTGTGGTAAATTGCTTGATAATCTGGCTCGGTCTGCTCGGACTCCTCGACCAGCTTGTTGATTTGGTGGGGTTTGAAGTGATAGCTGCAGAGCTGCTTCCAGATTCGCTGCTCGTCGATGACCCTTTGCATCACATTCCAAGCTTCTCCAGCCCGGCTTAGGTCTTTGTGGTCGGAAAGACGTAGCATTATTTCCCTAACACACTCTTCAGGCATCTGATGCAGTTGGGGTTCTTGATCCTCTTCAGGCTACAAAATTCCAAACCAATTTCATAATTTACAAATTATTTGTTCAAAATTTAAAATCCATTTAAAGAGCGTAATTATAAGTTTTTAAATCATAACTTTGAACTTAAAAACAATCAATCAAAATTATTTTTCATCAAATAATGGAGTATTTTGTACCTTCTTAATTTCAATATTATTGGCGATATTGAGGATCCGTTGAATAGCTGTGAGATGATTGTCCCAAAGAGTGGTGCTGCCCAAAGGGTGGCCCCAGCAAGCAAGGCGGGTGACTTCTTGCAGCTGAGCCAACAGAGCTTGCAGGACGTGCATATTGGTTTGACTGGCAGCAACTATAACAATATAAGGAATTAAACATTAACTTTATTCTTCATGAAGCAAAATAATGTGTCGTTTGAAGTATTTACCTTGTCGAGCGACTTCTTCCAACATTGCGAAGAGAACTCTTCGCGCACAACCAGAGAGGGAGGCCAGTCTGTGGTTCAAAAGCTCCTCAAGCACTTTGCAAACATAATGGAAGCGTCGAGTATCATGCACGGCACTCACAAAGTCCAGACGCTGGATCGAGTCAGAGAGGCCATTAAATCCAGCAATCTTTTAAATCAAAAAATGGAATTAAAATTTTTTCAATTCGTTGGAGTAAATTTACTAATTTTTACCTCTTTGGTGCATTTGATAGTGATTTGGAAATGAGGTTGGAGGCCGTTGTCGTTTTCTGCAAAAATATTATTTCAAGTCAGAATTCAATTGTGTGCAGTTATTGCAGTTTATTGATTTACCTTGGGAAGAGCAGAGAGCCAGTGAAGATCCGGGGGACGGGTTGGGGGCATGAGGGGTGTGTTTGGGGCTGCAGTGGTGTATGGCCACCACATCTGGACGGCAGTTTTCTTTTTCAGCCTCTCTAAAAGAAATAAAATAAAATTTGATTTAAATATCCAAATTAATAATTAAAAAAAAAATCCAAAACTATTGTATGACTTCAATTGGGAAGATTAAACATAATAATAATAACTACAACGGACTGAGTATTTTTTCCAAAACGTTTTTTACAATTAAAAACGAAACATTAAATTCAAGTTTAAAGTAAAAAACGTTTACAGGGGGTGTATAAAAATTAAATTTCCTATAAACAATTTATTTTCATTATTTTAATTCTTTTTTTTACACTTTTCATTTCAAATCATATTAAAAAAATGTTCTTGATATACATAAATTATTATTATTATTTTTTAATATAAAGAAAAAATGAAATGCAATTTGACATTTATGAAAGCCCTATTCATGATTAAAGAACAGAGATTTTAATTTCAGCACAGAGAAAAGCGATAATATTTTTTCCCCTTTCATTAGAACGGCCGGGGCGCTCCTCGCTTCTGAAGCACCCTTGAACGCAAATGTCACAACAGGGACGAGGAGCGAAAGGTCACGGCGAGGGACAGACGAGTACATTTTTCCGTTTTGGAGCGCAGCCCGGCCGCGTCAAGAGCAGCTCCCATTGATTTTCCGCGCCGACCTAGAAGTGGGTCACCGAGTCCAACATTTGGAGCCTCGAAAGCGCTTTATTGGGTCAAAAAGAAGGAGCCACTCGACCTCTGCACCACCAAATAAACAGGGAGATGGCTTGTGTTAGGATTTTTTTTCTCACTCAAGAGCATTATATTTTTATAGCAGTGTGGTAAAATATATATTTCAGGATTATATACTATTACTTAACAAACAAAAAAATAATTATATTATTTGTACAATCTGTTTCTTTTCTTAAAATCACAACAAAGAGAAATATCCTGATTCGATTTTTTATAAATATTGTATTTTTCTTTTTTTAAGTACTTAAGTACTCTTAAACAATATTTTACTTTTTTGTTAGAAAAAAAAATAATATTTGCTGCATAGAATTTAAAATAATATTTACTTCACATTTCTATAAAAAATAATAATAATATTTTAGATTTGAGAGAATTAAATTTAACTAATGTGAATTTTTAGCAAGTTTTGTAGATAAAACTTTGAAAAAATTTAATCCGTCGATTTAGATCATCAAATTTTATGTTCAACGCATTATCTCACGTATCTCAACCCACCAGTAAACAAGTGAGAGCTTTATTATTTTATTCACATCAGCGATGCCGCTTGCCGATATAATTAATTAGACCACTTCTTCCGGCTGCGGATCCGATAGAGGCGTTGTGTGTTTATTTATTAATTTACTTTCCCCGTGCCTGCCGAGCGAGTCAATGAGAAAATCATCTCGATAATTTTCAAATAAGCAAAGCCATCACGGCGAGCGAAGACTCGAGAGGAGGCGTCCGGAAGCAGAAGTCGCCGAGTCGAATGGGGGGAGCAGCGCTGTTTCACAATGTGTATTTTCTTAACGAGAGCAGTTAAAATATAATGAATTCGCCACAAATACTTTCTACTCTGACCGCAAGAATTTTTCACGAAATTACCGCTCCGTCAAGCGAAAAATTTACTGTCCGAAGAAAAAATTAGTCCATGTCTTGATTTTATAAAATTGTTATCATTATACGAAAGAACTTTTACAATTTCTTACTTCAAAATACTTTTATGATGGAAATTTTGTATTTTTAAACAAAGAAGTTAATTTAATATAAATTTATGATATTATTAACTGCAAATTTTAAACAAGCAACAATAATAACTTTTTGATTATGCACGCAACAAGAAACAAGGTCAGGCTCAATCAAGTGCAATTATTCTCGCAGTACAGTTTATACAGTTATATAAACTTCCCGGCGCACAGAGAGCGACTCTGCATATGGGATCACCGCCGACGCTGCAAAAGACTGAATATTTACAGTTTGATTTCCAAGATTTTTTCTATCACCCAACGTCAGTTGATATAGATTGACATCTCTCTTTAATCGTCCCCAAGAGCGGAAAATATTAAAATGAATTAAATGGAGCGAGCGCGCGGGCGACGAAAAAGCTCATTAAAAGTAACGAAACGCATTAATCATCGTCCACGTGCTCGACGAAAACTTATTTTTGGAACTGACAGCTGAGAGGAGCTTTTCCCTGAATTCACTTCCTGGGCTTTTTGTATGAGATGGATTTAATTCAGCCACAGCGATAAAAAAAAAACACTACGGCTTTTGCAGATAATTCTAATTTTATCCATTGAACTGAAGATGATATCAAATTTTCATTTTAACCAATTAAAAAAACGGAGAATATTTTAGGCATGCTGATTCCAAATAAGTTGGTATTTGCAAAAATTAATAAAAAATCAGAGAATATACAAAATAACGTTTTCGCCTCAGTAATTAAATTGACGTTTAACAATCTTATGTGTCTTAAAAATTTTAATTTTGCAAATTATTTTGTAAAATCCAATTTCTAATAGGATTTATTAAAAAAATTATTGAGCATTATTTTTCTCATTTTAACTTTTAGCTCCTGTTGGTTCCTGTTTAGGCTTAAAACCTTCAAATTTTAGCATTTGAAGTAATTCATAAGATATTTAAATTATATATGTATAAAAAAAACTTTCATGATGCTCTGGAAATAACAAGTAATTTTATGATTGTTTTCCGACGGTTCCTATTTTGAAAAACAAACAATCAATAATTTAATCACCACTCTGGAGAAGAACAAAGAAAGTCGTAAAAGGTCGTTATATACCAGCATATTACGTACATCATGTTTTCCTTTTTTCTAAAACGTGCGATGACGTCCACACTAATAACAGCAAGCCGTGAGCTACCGTCGGCGGTATAATAAAGCGATATTCAAATTTGAAGTAGACTCTTGGTGAGTTCGAAGCCGACGGGCGCAATATTATCGCATTATTTTTTTACAATGGACTCGTTCGCGGCTTCTCGAGATATATAGATATGTAACGTAATTAACTGCTGAGCGAGTGGAGCTCTGTCGACAAAGAACTGTGCGTTAGTTCACTTTCACACAAATTGCAGGTATTAGGAAACAACACTACGCGGAGATGTGTGTGTGCATTCGAAAGTTCGCAAGCAGAGCCCGACCGAGATATCAAAACTCAAATAATCGCCATATTACGTGATATCAAAAACTATAAATAGGATAATTATTGTGCGCATTTGCGTGTTTTGGCTTATTGTTGGGAGTATTTCTTTTTCTGTGATGTCATTATCTTATCTCTACATTATTATTTTCAGCTCTAAAAAAACGTTCAAAAAATTTATTTATTTTAATCCTTCAATCATTTCTATTCTGCTGGTCAACTTTCAAAAAAGTAATTTATTCAATTAAAGAAAAATATTTAATAATTTGTCTGCTTCCGAAAATTTGATATTTGGCAGTAACGGAATCTAAAAAAATCTTCTGAAGAAAATTTAATCTAAAATTTCCTGTTTGTTCAGAGGCCGGTTTTTAAACAGAGTTCAACTATATATTATATTTCACCTGAATAAGGAAGTTCTTGCCGGCCTTGGTGAAAAATACGGCTGATCTGCCAAGGCCGAATTTTCACTTTTTTCTTACTTGCTGCCAGTTCAACGCTTGAAAAAGAATAGCATGCGTCGCGATTGGATGGACAGCAACGCAAAAAGTGCTTTAATTTTTATCTGCAAGTTTTGGGCTTAAAAATCAGAGCTTTGTTTTTTATTTATTTAATTAATTTTATTACATAACATGTAATATTTTGAAAATATACACAAATTATTTCATTTCGATTGCTTAATTATTTTATGCCAATAAAATTGTTTGATATAATGTTCATTTTTTCAAATTTCAATTCAAGCCTAGTAACTCTTTCTACATGCATAAAATTTCTTTTTATTTATATAGCTTTATTTTTCAACCTAAAACCAATTCAACTGCGTAGAATTCAAAAATATTACATTGATAAGGCCAACATGTGATTATCTAAATTATAAGTAGATAAAATCAACATGCCACTTAACGTATATTTGATCAGTGCAAAAACTGTGCGAAAATAAATTTGTATTGCATTGTAAGGCGACATTGTTATTTTGGCTTGGCGAAGCCTTTTAAATGTCGAGTTTGCGTCGTGGTACATAATCACTCTGCACTGCAATTACTTCACAAACATAGCAACCTGCAATGAAAAAAACGGAAGGTCCTTGACCTATGGCTTTGCAGTTATTTCATACTCCATTTAATTTCCTATCGATTCTAAAATTTTAACGTACGTGGTTGACTATTTAAATAAAATTAAAAATTTGAAAGAAAAAATATTATGAAACACTTTTTACAAAACGGTAATTACATTCTTACTTCTTATTTTTACTCGAGAGAAAAACATTCCTCCAAAAATTATAACTCAACTTGAAATTGGTTTAGAGGAAGCTTCTCCAAATGAAGCTAACCATAATTAAATTAAAATAAAAACCGAGCTTTTTCCTTTTCTCAAAATAAACCAGTCTTTTTAAAAAATTGCGGATTCTGTCTCACTTTTGTTGAACGCTCTTTTTTTAAGTAAAAAGCTGCAAAAAAAGTTAAAGGATATAATTTTAAATTTCAAAACACTTTAAGAACAATATTTAAATTGGTGTTATTGCAAGTAAGATCTATAATTTTTCATTCCATGCAAGAAATTATATGCCTAAATTTTTTTGCCGCTTTTCCACCAAACCATTTTTCCCGATTTTTCGCGATAAAAAAAATAAAAAACTATCACCGTTAAATAGAGAATGCCTTTCTTTTTTTACAATCCAATGCAAGCGAGTGCCGATCACCCGACAACAGCGAGAGCGAGTGCATCGAAATGGCACGACTCTTGTATGTATGCGAGTGTTATGTCTGTGGTGTGCCCTAGGTGACTGACCTGCAGGTGAGCTTTTTGGCTGGCGCGGGGCTGGTGCACTCAAGGATTTTCTTCTTCTCCCATCCCTCGTGCGTTTTGACCCAGGTTTCGCCCGGAGAGCGCCAGTCCTTGGAGATGAACGGCATTCCGCACCTGCACCCTTCAACTACGTCGTTTGTTTAAATGCCCGTCTCCCTGCCTGCCTGACAACAGCGCAAGCCAGCGTGCCTTTGTTTGTTGACTTCGCTCTCCGTCAACTCCAGCTGGGTCATTTTTTGCCAACCCCATCGACGCCATTTTGGAGAACGGTTATAAAACACCTTTGTTATCACAATTAATATGATTTTAATGTTTCAAACATTATTTTGACATGAAAAAAATAGTCTCAAACTAATTTTAAATCCCTATCGATAAGATTATTTAAAAAAAATTGGTGCCGTTAATTTTTGTCAGGGTGGTAGCTCTAATTCCGTATTGATTGGAGAGGGGATGAAGTGCGCAGGCGCGAGTGGCGCCTCCGCATGGCGTTGTTTTTGTTTACACTCCATTGACAGCCAATTTTGCTCTATTTAATTTTAAAATTTTGGCCTTTAGAAAGGCTTCTTTGAACGGTAGGTTCATTTTGTACTTTGTCGGCTTCGTGTGTTTTGATTTGTGTGTCTCTTTTTTGCCACGGGTACCTCAAAGCTGCGAAATTAAGGGTGGCGTTTTAGGGGTTGAAGGGTGCCGCTCTCCCAAAAAACGGAAAATTTAAGTTTTTTATTATTGTACCTTTAATACTGAAGTGCAGTTTTCGTTTTAAAATTTCAAAGCTTTTCGGAAACTTTCCTGGAATAAGTTTATTAAACTAAAAGTTTGTTAAAAATAGGATTTTCTTTACTTTTGAGGTTGACCTCATGATTTCAGCTTCAGACTTTCTGTGTTTCGACCGGCACAACATGATACATTTTATACCACATATAATATTATAATATTTGGATTTAACAGTCATAACTTAATCAAAAATCTGCCAGAAAATTGATTTAATTTGGAGGTAACAAACAAATTATAAAGTCATTTTTAATTATATTTTGGGTTCTAATTCGGCTTATGAGATCTAAAGATAATTTGATTTTTTAGTGGCAAATTTTGATGAATTGTAAAGAATTAATGACAATTTTCCACCTTTTTACTGCTGTTTCAAAAAAAATTAATGTATTAATTTTTTCAGCACAAAAATGGGCAAAGGCAAGAGAGTGGTTTCCAAGGAAGACTCCGAGGTGGACTATCCCTCGGGCGAGCTGAAAGCACGCAAGAAGGGCAGCAAATTAACTAATGGGGGCGGAAAAAAGCAGGAGGAGGCCGCTAGTGCCGCCTCCAAGAAGGCGGCGGCTAAGAAGCGCACACGGAAGCCCAGCAGTCAGATGAAGAATATCTGGGTGGCCAGTTTTGTGTCCTTTGTGACGGCCGCCATCGTGGCCGCCCTCGTCGTCTACAACTGGTCCTTCCACGACAGCTTTGACCTGACCAAGTTCTGGACAGACAACGAGGAAAGGATCTACAACCTGGTCGAGCATGTGACCACCCTCTTTGCTCAGCAGCTGGGTGGGGGAGATGCAGCTGCCAACGCCACCACAGACCCTGTCATCGAGACCATGACACCACCCCCAACCACTGCCTGAGGCGCTCAAAGCGTGCAGACTTAACGAGACTTTTGTGCCACCTAATTTTTTTAATTTATTTATTTCTAGTACCAGTGTTTTGGTTGCGTGCCGAAATCTATTACTGATCTATTCATACTATCATATAAAATGTATATAATTACATTTTAGACAGCACTCTGCAATAAAAGCATAAGTATGTTTAGAACTATAAAACTTTGAGAAATGTGCATTTAAAAGTTTTGAAGATTATATTTAAATTTACCTAACAGAAGCATTTGTAAACAATTTTCTCCGTGTATTTGACGCTTTTGGTCTATGTGCAAATATAATTGATTATTTCATCCAGATTTCATCTAATAAATCCTCTGATGAATGATATAACCATTATGTAAGCATTTTTTATGTTTCTTATAGTACACCTGGACAATGTTATATTTTTATGCTACTTAAATACTGACCGAGTTACAAAAATTAAAATCCTGTGAAAATTCTATCATTTGAAATTCAGTCTATTTCTTAGCTCTAATTCTTGGTCTTTGGCGTCTTTGCTTAGGCAGTTAATGTGACTCATTGTCAATTGCAAAATTTTTTCTTTTAAAGTAGTAATAATTTTGATTATGTCTAAGACACAAGAGTTTTGATTATTTATGAATATCCTTTGTACATATTATATTTTATTAAAAAAATTTATGAAAATTTCAATATTTTTAATACATAAATTTTGATTTTTATATTTCTCAAAATGAATGCAAATTTTAAAAAATCGCACAAAATATTTTTCTCGAGAATTTTTCTGATTTCGCGCGGTAGGAATGGGCGTGGCTGCTTTGAATGTGGCGGAGGCCAAAACAAAAATGGCGACCATAACAGAAAGCTGTTTTTGGTGCGGACAGCAATTTCAGGACGAATTTGTGCTGAAATGCGGTGCCTGCGCCAACTGTTATCATAGCAGGTAAATTTTATAATATTTTCTGCTTCTAATGAAACCAAACTTTGCCCATAAAGTGCCTGTCTTGTGGCCGAGGCAAATATTTTCCCGCAGGCGATGACCTGCAGTAGTTCCAAATCATCACTTGTTTTTTTCACGATTTTGTCGTGTTTTTCTCTATTTCGGTCCTTTTATGATTTGAATTGATGATATTTATGTGAATTTTTATGTTTTATTTCAGATGTGTCGGTACTTTGGAGATTTTGGCGCAGGATTTCGCCGATTACCACTGTTCTCAGTGCATCGTCCTCGTCGGCCCCACCATTTGTGAGTTTTTGTTGACTTTTTATTCTAACTCTGAAAAAAATTCTTTGTTTGCGCCAAGTCTGCATAAAACCACGGTTTTTTAACTGTTGTTTAAAAACCACATTTTTTTCATTGTTTAATGTTCTATGATTTTAAACAGAAATACAGACTTTCAAACGACAAGAGTTTTACTAAAGGAATTTTAATTGTACAGATAATTATTTAGTTTTAAATTATTAAATCTTTCCAGTCATTTTTTAAGCAATAATTCTTGGATTTTTTAGACAAACAACCAACAAACAATCACAGACATGACAGATATGAAATCGACCTCGACGGCAAAGCAACTCAAACGGGCACACCAAAATTTATCTCGGAACTAAAAACCCGTATATTTTGCAGGTATAATTATTATGCTCAACTTGTTAAATTTTTCAAATGACTTATATAATAACATTGATCTAGTGCATCTGAAATTGTTAAACGTTCAAATGGAGTCGACTTCAACATCAACCACCTCACCGAGCATGGATTTTCTAATCCTGTTCTGCTTGAGCCTGCGGAAAGCATAGAGGGCTTCCAAATGGTGTCCAAAGACTTTGACTTTTACAATGTTCCTCAAGTCATTGGTAAAACTGTTATATCATAAATAATTTAATATCAAATTTACAATTTTCATAATTTTATTACAGACGGTACAAAGGAAATCACAGCAATTTGCTGCACAAGTCAGTCAGCAACTCGGCTTAATGTTGATGACTACATCAAGTACTATACAAGTGGAGATCGATCAAGAATTCTCAACGTCCTCAGTTTAGAGTATTGCAATACTGAGTAATATTAAATGATTCTTTTGTGGCAGTTTTTGCATAAATTTGACGTTAATTTTATCCGCAGGCTCAACAATTTGGTCACAGCACCCTTAGTAATTCGTCAAATGGACTGGAGAAACAATGTAATGGGTCCTGGTGAATGGCCTGCTGATTTTGACAATCGGCCCGTTCACAGTTGCTTGATCATGAGCGTTGCAGACTGTTACACCGATTTTCACATGGACTTTGGCGGGTCATCTGTTTGGTACCACTTGCTGAAGGTACGAAACTTATTAAATTTTCTACTAGGAACTACTTAAATTGTTGATTTATTTTTCAGGGAGAAAAGGTATTTTATTTGATACCTCCTACACAGCCCAATAGGGCCATGTACCAGCGCTGGTTGAACTCATCGAAGCGATTAGAGATGTTCTTCGCTGACCAGGTAAACTATAAGTTCAAGTTTGTCTTGGCAACCACAGATTTATTTTGAATATTCCTCTACATAGGTCGAAAAGTGCTACCAGTTTGTATTGACAGCAGGCCAGACCATTGTAATTCCTGGAGGTTGGATTCACGCTGTCTTAACAACAAAGGATTCAATAATGTTCGGAGGAAATTTCCTTACCGACTTCAACATTGAGTTGCAATTAGCGTAAATCAGCTAGCCTAAAACTAAATTATATTTTTAAAATATCAAATTTTTTCTGTAGTGCGTATGCAATTGAAAAGGCTTCTCACACACCTGCGAGCTTCTGCTTCCCAAATTTTGAAGGATTGCATTGGTTCGCTGCAGACTCGATCACAAACAGGCTGCGTCTTATCCATCAAAATGGACAAAAGTGCCCTGACTATTTGCTCAGAGGGGTCAAGGCCCTTAACACTCACTTAAAAGTGTGGAAAAATAAGGAAGTGAGTTTCATATAGACTTTTTATATCACCTCGCATTAAAAGGCCATATTACAGGTTCAGAAAGGTCGTAACCTGAGTGTTCCTGAGGGACTAGATGGAGCGGTTGTTCTGCGTGAGCTCAGTAAAGCAATCAGGAATGCTGAGCGTCTCATAAATACTCTGAACCCTCCAAAACCTGAGCGGGAATCAAAGAGAATGAAAAAGAAACCAATTGACAAAGACTTTGTTGATCTCACACAACCACTCTCAACCAAAGTTGCGCAGGAGGTTGTCTTGACCATATCAATCCAAGAATTTTCTCTAAATTTATTTTCATATCACAGCAAAGGGTCAGTTTAAAGGTTATAAACAACAAACTCGATTTCCCGTCGGAGCCTTCAAGTTTTGATCAATATCCTGCTGAGCTCAAAGAAGAACCTCCTGCAGAGATAAAGGCTGAACCTGTGACCAGTCTAAAGCTGCGTTTTACCCTAGGGTACAAATTGGTTTATTAATTTTCTTGATATTTATGTTAAAATTGCTCACCTCCTTCAGTGGAAAACCTGTTGCCGAGACCTCGGTCCCAACAGCAAGAGTCAAAGATGCCCCTACTGCCATAAGAGACCCTTACGCTTTTGACGCAAGCGACGAAGAACAGCTTCACATTGACGAAAGGCCTAAGAAAATTCGAAAGTCTGAAAAGAAGTTGCCTCGGCTCGATGGAACAGACCAGTCCGTTTTCAGTGAAGCCCTTCAAGGAGATGTGGTCATGGAGCCTGTCGAAACTGTCAGCACTCTCGATTTGGGAGGCGAAGTCGACATTGTTGCCTTCGTAGACCCAAAAGCTGGGCAGCAAAAGAGCAGCAAGGAGTCTAAGTCTAGCAAAAAGAAGAAAAAGGAAAAGTTGTTCGTAAAACCAGAAACACCTAAAATACTTCAAACACCTCCTCCGCAGCAAGAAACGTAATTTTTAATCATAATTTTAAAGTAGAAACTAAATTTAGGTCTATTCAGCATAAGTCTAGGATCTGTCCTGCCAATGATTGGTCACGTTCCCTCAATGTCCAAGATGCAATCAATTGCCAATCAACCTCCACCAGTTCAAAAAATAAATCCTCCTTTGAGAATCTCTGTAAAGCCTGATAAGAAAGCCAGCAAAGCCCCGGAAGAGGAGACAGAAGAGCCTCCAGAAGACCCCGTTGCAAATGTTCACCAGGATGACGATTATGGTAGAAATTTTAAATAATATTTAAGTATTGTTTCTAATATTAATTAAATTCAGTTTATCCGTCATTGGATGGCTCTGACGAAGAAGATTTTGTGTTCAAACCAAGAGGGAGACGCAAGATGGATGAAGCTTGGAATCCAAAAGCTCGAGTTGGTCCTGTCGTTCCAAAGAAGGACCGTCCTATACGGGAAGGTACAAAAAAGCAGTCTGTAGAGAAGGGTCTGGAGGCAGCTGCTGCAAAAAGAGCTGGACAACCTGTAGGCTGGAATTAATTTCAAATGTTGAATACAATAGAGCTCTCAATTATTTTTAGGCTGCAAAGAGACCATACATAAGAAGGAAGCCAAGACCTATACCAAAGAACAGTCCACCAGGTAACAAGAGTTTTTACGAAAACTGTGATATATAAATTTTACCTCTTTAGCGGCTAACATCACCACTGTTCATGGTCCTGGAGACCTTGTGATCGCAACTCTAACGTCTTCAGCAAAAAAGGCAGACAAAGGTAGGATCCTAAATCCGGAAACATTTTCTTTTGAATTTTTATTAATAATTTTCTCAATAGTGGTTTCACTCTTAAAATGGGTGAAAATTAAGTTCATTTGTTTCTTGTGCCCTGCCCCTTGCTTATCTCTTCTGCAGGCAGTGACACAATTAAGCGCGTAGAAATAAATTAACTTTAATTTCACCCAGACTTTGTGTGAATCCACTATAGTTTGAAAGATAAGGGTGGTAGATCTGCTTAAATTTTAGGTTTAAGAAGCTTTGAGGATAGCTCTTTCCTCTTTAAGTTAATTATTTAAGATAAATGCTAAAAATATTTAGTATTGGTTTTAATTTTTACGCTAAATTAAAAACGTCTCATATGTAGATTCTTATAATAATTTATTACTCACCTTTCAGCGAAAAAACCAAAGAAAGGCATGAAGACGGCCAAGCAGCGTCTGGGAAAAATTCTGAAAATTCATCGGATGAATTTGAATTAGTTCACTTTTACTGAACCCCTCTTTCACTCACATTAATTTAGTTTTCGGTTCCTATGTTGGTATTTCAATTTTACTCAACTTTGAATGCTCTTTTGTCGTTATTTTCAAATCATTTCGTAGAATTGCTACATTTTGATGAATGTATGTATTTGTCTGTTTTTTCTATTGTTTTTTTTTTCGCGCCTAGTCTATCAAAATATTAAATCTTTCAATATTATTTTTTAAATTTTTATTTGCCATTCCACAGAATGTGTACAAGGTTAGTGCTTAAAAATAATGTAATGACGTGTAATTAATTAGTTTTAACAAATGAAATGTGGCATTTTCCGTCCTACAAGTTTATTGATGGCGTGTTATTGAGGTTATAGTGGTGGTGAAACACCACACTTTTGAGCTGTATAAACATTGATGTCATTTATCGCAATGTGTGTGCACTTCTGTGAAAAGCTGCAAATTGTAGTATACTAAAAGGCGTTGCTATGAGTGTCCAAGGTGTGTATTTATAGTAGTTATCATAAATTACGTCGAAATGTATAATTTTCTAATGCCTGGGTGTAACTATATATTGTACAGAAATACGAAAATAGAGTTTTGAAGAAGAAAAAACGACACAATTAACTCGTATAAATGGCAAAGTTGATTATTAAATGTTGGAAATATGATACAATTATTATAAATATATTTCTTTCAAAACTCCTGAGTCTTTTTCCAAGGAAAATAAAAACTACTAAATTGAAGTAAAAACTATTTTATTCCAAAAACGTTGTTTCTCCCTCACAGTTGACACAAAAAATGCATGGAGATATTGCAAGCGTGGGCAAAATGCTCATCAACACTCTGGGTCAAGTTGGTGCACTTCCCATTACCTGGAAGTGCAACTGCTTTGCCTTTTTTCCCGCTTTTGCTTGAAAGCTTCAGGAAAAAATCGTGAACAGCGAATTTCAAGTTGGTTGGTTTAGCATGAGGCATATCTTGCTTGTTTCCTTGAATCCAATACACCAAATTTTCTACAAAATTTAAAGTAAAAAGATCATTGAAATATTTAGGAAACCAAAATTTTATATTACCAGAAATGAGTTGATTGAGTTGTAGAGATACCTGCAAATTTTCTCTAGCCGTTTCAAAGAGAGCTAATTTCATGTTGTGCGACTGACACCACTTTAGCGCATCGGTCCAGTTGAACTTAACAAATTGTATTAAACAGGTTTTATTTAATTTTGAAAAAAAAATACCTTTAAATTTTTGTCTTTAAACACAGGTGAGTAACTGAAAAAATATGTTTTCTCCTCGGACGTGAAAATTGTGCCTGATATTCCACGCTGCAAGAAAGTCTTATTACGCTGTGATTCCATCTTCTCCTTTTAAAACCATAAATTAACAACAATATAATAACAAAAAATTTAATTTAAATTTGTACCTGCATTGTTTGTTCTTTGTCGCACATTCCCACTTCATTGAACAGATTTGAAAATTGCTCTTTGATCACCGCAGGCACATAAACATTTAATTCCTATTTAATGTTGTCAAATGTAAATTTTTCAAAATATTAATATGTATTAAAATCTAATTTACCGAAATCCTTTTCGAAATTTCAGTTGCACTAGAATTTTGATATTTTTTCAAACTATCAACAGATTTTGATATTGAGGAGGAAATTTGGCCCTCAATCTTCTGAAGTCGTTGCTCGTACCGGTCCATTTTCTCAAGCAGCTCATCCACCTTTTTACCACCTGCTTTAATTTCCTTGGTCAATATCTGCAAAATAATTAAATCATTAATTCTTGTAAATTTTAATAGATTTTTCAAAAAAAAATTATATACTTCAATGGTTGCAACCAGCTGCTCTTGTTGTTTCTTGCAAATTTGAAAAATGCTTGGTATTTCCAGTTCAACCTAAATTGACAAAATAATTAAAACCCACAAAATTTAATCCGCCAAATTATTAACTTGCCTCTTCAAATCCAGCTTGCAAGCTGGATTTTTGCAATAAGCAAAATATGAAGACAAGAATAGATTTTCTGTGCAACTCCATCACGTCAGCAAAACAAACTAAATTAACAATTAAATTAGAACATATTTATATTTTAATTTTGACGAGAAAAGTTACGCTTGCATCCTATTTAGCGGTTTGGTGATAAACTCGGGTCTTATCTCACCCGCGGTTGCCCTCTGACTTAATAATTCCGTATTAGGAAATTTTATATAATAATTTGCATTGAAATCCTTATGCAACCTGCTCAACATGTTGAACCACCAAGTTGCCTAACAATAAGTGCGCTACTGAAAAACAAAAATGTTATCTTCTTTTACAGTTTATAATTTATAAGTGTGTGTAAAATTTTTATAAAAGAAATAATAAAATGAATTTGGAGCGATAACTTTATTTCTCCCCATGCTATGGATTATGCTATCAAATTAATAGCAACAAACTGTTTCAAACAAAGTTTAATACATATTTTTTTTTTTAAATTTTGCTTTAAGTTTTTCTTTTCCTTAAGAAAAAAAATTGGTGCCTTTTGACAGAAAATTTTATTATCAAAATATATAAATAAAAGGCAAGATATAAATTTAGAGCAAAAAACGCGTGAATTTTCTTAGCAATATTTTCAAATTTCAGTTTTTGTGAAAATAAATAATTTTGAAAAACCAAATATTAAAAAAAAAATGTGTTAGTCTCTATTTCACTGATGGAGGAACTTCCCTCCAGGGCGGAATTAATTCGTGCGCACACAAATTTCTCAAAACGGTGTCAGCAGTTTACTTTTTGTTTGTATAAAATAAAAGTAACGGCACCGGATAATTTTGATACAGTAATTAATGAGCGGAGTCAATCGGCCACACGCATGCATAATTAAGTTAAATAGGGCTCGATTGAGAGATTGGCGTCACGTTGCTGATGGTTTAATTCAGCAGCTTATCAGGAAAATTGAGAGATGAGATGCTGAAGCTGAATGTAATAAAAAAAAAAAAAATAACATATAAGCGAAAGAGAACAGAGACGCACATTAAAAAGCACAGCGCCACAGGCTGACATGCAATTTTTAAAATTTCAGTTCATTAATGAACAGGAAAACAGGATAATGATAATGAACAGAGATGCATATCATATACGTTTAAAACTTATTCATTGTGAAGCTGTTTGGAAGTACATTTATTAATTTAAAGATGTAAATACGTTAAAAAAAATAGTGAAAAGATTCTTTGGATATAAAACAGTACAGTAAAGTGCTACAATTAATTAAATATTTTTGCATAAATTAAATTTTTATGAAGTTTCACACTTTAATCCACTTGGAACTAAGAATTCTACAACTATAATAGAACACAATTTTTGTTTTAAATTTATGTATTTATGTTGTGTAGAACCCGTATAACGACGAGCACTTTTAATTGATTATTTGGTTTTCATTTTGATTAAACAAAAATTTAAAATTAAATGTAGAAAAACATTGTTGAACTTTGTTCACGCTGGAAATATTGGAGTCCTTATTATATTTTTCGCCCCCTGCGATAATGTGATAATTATTCCTGATGTTCCCCTCCTCCTATGAGACGATTTCTCCTCCCGCCCAAAGATATGCCATTCTCCGTTTCTTGCTGCTCACCTGTTGGCGCTTTGCACCGCGAGCACCGATCGACGCCCCGTCTGACCAAAAGACAAAAGTTGCAGTACTCGTTCGCCTCTTGCCGAGAACACCGGGACGAGATTCACCTCTCTGCCCACCGTAGCGCACGTGAGCGACCTGACTGCACCGCGATGACCAACCTGAGCCGCATCAAGGTTGTCGTACTCGGCACCAACGGCGTTGGAAAATCAGGTTAGTGCCGATCTCATTAAACTCAAATTCAGTTTTTCAGTTGCCGAGACAAATATACAAATTATTTTAATTTTTAAATTATGTAAACACGATGCATCTTATTAGTTTGGGATGTGAATTGCGGGTTTTAATAATAACAAGCATTTAGATTTTTTATTAAAGAATTTATTGGATCTGATTGGATCAATGAAGCATTGTAATTGGAAAATTATTTAAAAGTAATTTTTTTTTTAAAATTACATTTCCATCTTTAACTCTTCATTTATTAAAGAAAAATCCAGAAATTAATGCAATTAAAGTAAAAGTAAGTGTGCAAAATAAGTTTATTTTGTTCATTTCAGTTAACAGAAATAATAAATATGTATTTGAAATGTTCCCGATTCTCATTTAAATTTGATTTCACTTCAAACGTCTAATTTAGAATGGAATACTTATTCAAATTATTAAGAACTTTAAACCAAATACCTCAGAAAATTATGTTATGGTATATTTTAACTGTTCTAATTCATGGAGTTTTTTAATCCTTATTTGACATTTATTTTTTTCTTGGAAATGAAGAGATCAGGCTTTTTTTTCTTAGCAAAGTCCGATCCCTTCATTTCCATGATCATCTCTTCGAATGTAAATTTCTTCAAATATTTTTCTCGGTCGAAATAATGGTCATAGTTTTTTTTCGCGATTATGAAACATTTTGCAATGAAAAGTATCAGTTCTGGTATTATATTCCGGTCTAATAATGAAACTGAATACTAATAGGGTTTCAATAGGATTGCAGAACCGCAGGGCTTTGGGGGTCACCTGCACTTATAATACACAAAACACATGTACAGTAAATTTTATTACGCAAGTAACGTTTGCACACAATTAACGATCAGAGAGAAGCTCCGATTTTCTTCTCCTTTGGATGTATACGGAAAATTTATCTGTGCATTTGAATACGTATAAATTATTATGATTTACTGGACGGCGTTTGCGGCGAACGCAATTACAATTACACGCGAAACGATCGTTTAACTTCAATTTTCTTCTCCACATGCGAATGGGCATAAAATAGGCCCACCTCCGTTTAATAATAACAATAACAATTTTCTCTGCACGGCGAGAAAAACTAACTAACGCACTGCCCTGAGCACTCTCGCGTTATTACCTAATGGAAGGTATACGAACGTGTAGAATTGAATGTTGTGGGTAATGCAGTGCAGCCGACGACGATTCCTCATTTATTCCCAGCGCCGTCTGCCACTCTCGGGGCATAATGCAGAGACCGCTGCTGGCTCCAGACAACGCCGCCGCCGCCGCTTTTTATTTCGCTTCGTATATATGCACACATAATTATGCGCGCAATTAGTTCGAATAGTATGTTATTCAATCGTCCACAGATTTTATATAGAGGCAAACTAGACTGCACTTTATTGTTGAAGTTTCTTGCTCCAATTTTAGATTACTTGCAAAATGATTGATATTCAATTACTGATCAATAGACGATTTTGCAATTTAAAAAAGAAATTATTTATAGCCTTCAATTAAAAATTTTATTGACCCATTTTCATTTCATGCTAGAATTCAATGCCGAGTGGAATACAAGAGTGAAATTATAATTTTTTAGAAATGTAGAAATAATTGCACTTCCGAAGCCAAAAGATGAAAAAATCTACTTGTTGTAGAAAAATAAAAATGAAATCACGTAAAAATTAATGTTTAGATTAAATAACTCGTAGTTATAATAACACTTGGTAACACACACTGTAAATTCTGAACAAGATTCACTTTTTGAATTAAAGATGGCTAAATCAATGGCAAACCAAAAAGAGCAAAAGTAAATATTTGCTTGAACATACCTAAATAAATTTAATTTTTAAATAGCTATTTTGGAAGGATTCATTTATTTGTACAAATGAGAAAAAAATCCACATTGCGATGATTTTTTTTTAAATATTTCTGTCCCACCAAATGAACTGATATCTGGATTACATTTATATGGACACTCTGGGACACTCCAACCATATAATTATGGAAAAATTAACTTGAGGGTTAACTTGTCCTAAAAATAGTCTCTATAAATCTCTCCATATTCAAAAGAGGAACTTCGAGCATCTTACGGCGCCAAACGCAAACATATATTATACTCAACAGATTTTGCGGTCAAATTTCCTCTTTATGGCCCTGTCAAGTTTTGATTCGTGGCACACATTCAATTTGATGTCTGAAGGCAGGCAGCATGTCTGTGGCCAAAGGTGCAAAGAATAAAACACCAATAAAAAAAATATAGGGCCTCGGGATTTTATGGTTTATCGCGTGCGCACCAAAAAGGAATAGATCTTCATCAGCACAATTCAGCAGATTGCTTTTATTTTTATAAAATTGCACAATTATTTTAGTTGATAAAAATTTCATATTGTTTTTAAATTTATAAGGGAAAAGTGAGAAAGTATTGACAATTTATATAAAAAAAATCTTGTTGCAACACTGTTGGTGATAAGATGATGCATTTTGCTGGCCTTGAATTGACTGGTACTAAAAATTGGAAAACTGGGGCCGTAGTGCGTTATCTTTTAACTTGATCGACTAGAGTTTTGTTTTACTTGTTCTCAATTTTAATCACGAGTTGTCACCTTGTTTATTTGCTCTTACTTGTAGCGTTTTGTTTGATAACACTTGAAATTAGGTCCAATAATTCTTAAGTTCTGTTGAATTAGTTGCAAATTGTGTTTATTGATCTATCACAAAGGCAATTGCTGCCCATAACGGGATACATCATTTATACATTCAAAATTATACAAGTTAATATAATTGAGAGAAAAGATGATAATTTTACATTATGAATTATTAATTTTCAATTACTTCTTACATACTTACCTAAAAAATAATTTAAAATGATTTCAGTTATTGTGCGTGCGTATCCAAAACAAAATGATTGTGTTTGCTTTAAGCAAAAATAACTATTAAAAATCAATTTCATAGTTACCTAATTCTAAGAAAGATAAACTGATATATTATTGCTGCATAACTTCATATTAATCAAATATTAATTTTAAATTTAAATCAAATTAAAAAAATAGCTGCTTGTAGACATTTATCTAAAACACAATTTTTTTTAAATTCGTTCCTTCTCATTTTTAAAAATCAAAAGTACATGTGTTTAGAGACTTAATTATTACTTAAAACGTAATTTATTTGATGTTTTCACTTTTTACATTTTTAAGTATAATTATTGTATGTTTAATTTAAAAGTATTTGTTTTATGTCAAGTTTTTTTCAATATATTCTAGTTTTAACTTTAATTTTTGGGACATTCAACTGAAATTCATGACTTTTACTTAGAAATGTGTATGCACTTTGTATGATACAAAGTACATAATGTGATTCCATTTCCAAACAAAATACCTTGGTGTGTACTTTTAGCAGACAAATAATAGAGTGCTCAAGCGGCGGCCGCCAATATATGTGTCAGAAGATAAATGATCAAACGCGTTAATAACTCACCGGTGCCTATGAGGAGATTTTATCTCCGCAGCGTGGCTCTTCTTTGAATTCAACTCGCTCAGCGACGCCGCATATAAATTGAATATTTCGCGTCTTTATTTATCGGGTGTTTGCGAACGTGACAGCCGCGCTATATCGACCGCTCACTGAGAAATGACTGCACATGTGTATGCATATTACAAGGGGCGAACAATGCTGCACGCGTGATGAAATGCCGCTTTTCGAAAACAAAGTGCACCTCTTCAAATAACAATATACGAGAACAAGTCCCACTCCGTATCGAGATAAATTTATTTGTTCGCCACTGATAAGGATATAATGTGTATATTGGTCGCGGTGATTTACGCTCCGAACAACAATGCTGCCCGCCTCGCCCAACAATAGGTCCCTCGACTGGGTCAGTGCGGGTCAATTTGAAAGGGAAGACGGTGTGCGTTCTTTTGAAGCGAAATAAATGATTGAGACAAAAAACGTTTTGAAGATGGTTATCAATTTTTTTGCAAATCACCAGGCTAAAAATTTAGCGAGTCACTTTAGTCATTGCATTACTTAAAGAACTATCTGATCCTTTTCTATATTATACTACGCTGACGTTTTCATTGTCGCAAAGAAGTGACTGGTAAATTATTATTTGTTTTGACGAACTTTCAATTTCTGTTATTTAAATTTAAAAAAAAGAAATGCTTAAATTAAAATAGTTAAAATAATTTTTAAACCAAACTTTCAAAAATATAAAATAAAAATTAGCTTTGATCTTCTAACAATAAGAAGACTTTTAATTCTAAAACAAATTATTTACTTGAAAATGTCTTTTTTGAAGTTTCTTATAAAATTTGGTACTGTCAAAAAAAGATAAAATTGTGAATAAAAATTTTTCAAATATATAATTATAATAATTTAATATGTAATTTTTTTAGCGTGCAATATTAATGAAAATTATTTAAGGAAAAATTTCTTTCCTTGCATTCATAACAAGCAGGAAGTAAGCAATAAATTATGGCGCAATATTATCTGAATTATGCGGGTTTTTTTGCACCTTGCACTTTCAACTTTCAAAACAAATGTATGAATAAAAATTATGGCAAAAAAACACAACACATGCATGATTAGCTCCTGTCACCAATTTTCAACAGCAGAGCATAAATAATGCGCCATTTACTTTGAGATGAAACAAAAAATTAACTGTAAAAAAACAAATGTGTGACTGGAGTGATAATACTCTTGTTTGAGTTTATTGTCAGGAGCCGAGTTCACGTTTATTACGAACGTTCTCCAGCAATCCATTTTTTCCTTTATTCTTATTTATACGGTGGAGTGACAGTAATTGTGCACACACAACGTAGCTTAATAGGCCTTTCTAAATGCATTCAACGGTGCGATGGCAGTGGACGGGTGACGAGCAGCGTCACTTGCAGGGGGCTATATAGGTGCCTGTCAAATGCATCTACCTATCCGTTATTGTTGCTATTCACGAGATTTGAATTTTTCCTAGGCCCATTGATGCATTTATGAGTAAC